TCCTACTTTGTCTCTTACATGTCCCGCTCATATCAGCCCACGCTCGGTCGATAACTATTGTCAGGAATTTGTAGTCAACTCGAGGAGTTTTATCCATCTGTTTGCTCAATTTGTCACTCGCGTCTGATTTCGCAAACTCTGAAGGGCACAAAAACGACGATATGGGTTCCAGTTAAATGAAAACTTCCACTCATGCACACAAACTTGCAGCAAGTTCACAGCGACCTACCTCATCCCTTCTCTCATGACAACAAATTATCCTCGCTCAACTATTTGATGGCTTCTATGTGCTCCTTCGTCTTGGGGAATTGGTCTGGCCCGATGACAAAAAGTTGCAGAATAGGAGAAAATTGACGCAGCGCACCTCAGTTGTATTAGAAGACCATCATCATTCCTACGTTTCTCCTGTCCTACAAAACGGATGTTCAGTTTGAGGGTGCGACCGTCATTGTTCATCACACTGATTCCTTGCCAGACCCTCATCAGGTCTTCAAGGAGTACTTAAAATCGCGTGATTCATCATTTCCCTTTCATTCAACTCTATGGCTTCAAGCAGATGGTTCAGTACCGACTCACAGTTGGTTCATTCGGAAGTTGCATCAATTCTTCCCTACAACTATTGCAGGGCATTCAATGAGAGCCGGGGGAGCTACTTCACTTGCAGCCAGTGGAGTTCCAGTGTCCCATATTCAAGCCATCAGCCGCTGGTCCTCAGAGTCCTTTTGGGTGTATATCCAAAAAAATCCTACTCTTCTTCACAGTCTCATCTTCAATGGTTGGTCTGCACGCGATGGACGTAATCCGTTCGCGTCCATCCCTTAATTTTTATTCAGAGCTTGCTCCGTTTTTATGTGTGTGTTTCCCATCGTTTACACTCAAGCTTTACCTTTTACTTATCTACCCAACTACATCTACTTCCAGTCACTTCCCATCTACATCACTTCCCCATTAATTTCCCTCCCTCCTGCCCAAAAGTAACACCTTATAGCACTCTCCACGCACAAATTCTGCACGTCTCAGATTCAAGTTCTCGTTTTTTTCTCATATTCCAAGTTTCCCATCGGTTGCTGCTTTGTACTTATTTACGTTGCTCAATTTTTCATAGGGTCCTTCGCTGCCCTCGCATGAAGGGCCCTCTTGCTGGCTAATCCTTGCCGCCTGCGCTTCCGCGGGGCTAAGTGAGACAAAGGTCAGCCACCTTGATATTGTCAAACAGAGTCTGAAAATGCATTATAATATATGTATATTATCAGGCTATACTGCCAAAATTAAGCATAATCCTCACTGATAAGCAACGAGGAGGTTTTGTAAATTTATTTGTAGTCTACAGATCCCACATGATTAAGCTTAATGGCTTCTGAGATTCTCCAGTGTCCCAAACCAGCACTAACACCTGAAATATTAAGGTAGAGGTCTTGCAAATTCGACGAACATCACATGATGTGACCATAGTGTGACATGCTGGAGTCACAATTAGGAGAGCAGTGTGGTAAGTAAACAAAATGATGGTAGGTAGCAGATACTGTATGTACTAGTATGTATATAGATCATGGATAACATATTACCTTGAATTGGAGGCCATTAAGCCTTCAGGGAGGACCCAATGTCCTCGATACTTCCTCACAGCCCATGCTGCTTGAGCTCTGTTTCTCTATTCCCAAGCAGACGGTCAATATTTTGCCACTAAGAACAAAACAGAATACTCACATTTTCTTTCTGTGAGCCTCCAGCCTCATCTCTGTCTCGTCTCGCCCTCTTTGACTGATGCACAGCTGCAGCATTGTTGATCTGTGCTTTGTGACAATGTTTCCGCCTCCCCATGGGTTCACAACTTGGAACTTTGACTTGTGCGATGGCGGACGGCGGCACCCAGCATTGAATTTCCGTCGGACTTCAAACTCGTTGTTCACATATAATCAAACCTACAGAAAGCTCTCAAAATTCAAAATCTTTTCACCATCTCCATGCAGTACTGATTTACTCTATAGATAAAGTGTACAATTGCTTTTCCCGTATTTCGCATAAATTACTCTTATGCTTCCTGGCCCTGTTGGATTGATTTTGAATTTCTCAACCTTGTCACTCTAATGTAACGCTGGGCACATGATGTTCGTCGAATTCGCAAGACCTCTACCTTACCAAATTTAGATATTCCAGTATCCTCACTATTCTCACATATCCCTGCCAGCTCTACCTGCTTCACCACAGCTTATCCCCCTCACCACTCCTGTATATAAGTAGTAGCTTTACATATATATACATAGAAAGACTCAATAAACCGCTTTCTGAAACCTGTATAGCCTGCAGTGCTAATATGTGCACCCCAGGAGGCCAGGACTAAAACATATTCGCATTTTTACCCCTTTAGCAGGGAAGCAATTCTGATGATATATAGCATGTATTATAGTGTAAATTGACTTATTACACCGCTTGATTGCATCTCTGAAGTGTCCTATGTTAGTAGATAGCTTACATACCCCTCAAAACATAAATCAATTCGCATTTTTCAGGGGTTTGACATATGGCCTTGTAAATATGCTCCCTATAACGGACTTTTGTGTATATATAACATACTAGAAGCTCAGGGCACGAGGACACTTCCATGTGGTGCTATGTATGCACCTTCTCCGGGTGGTTTTCCCCCTGAGAAAGTTTTTCATGCAGCTCCGGCCCTCTAGGATTATATGTGACATATTCTTATGTATATATAGAATATATTGATCATATAGATATATCAGCACAGTATCAGGATCTTTCTCAGCAATCCAAAGTCTCCTTCTGCCTATACTATAACATATTTTCGCATATTTTCAGTTTTTTACTACATTACCATTGCATAGACTATCTAGACTGTTTGTGTATTACTTATGGTACATATTTTAAGCATTCTAATGGTCATTATTATGCACAGATATGTCAGACTACTGAGATCAGTATATTCTATAAAATGTGGGCCCATGGGAAGGGATACCTGATGCTATCAGGTGGGCCCCTGTAATGTGTTGTTTTTAGGTATTTGCCGGCTGATTGTCTGTATTGTATCAGGTGGGCCCATGTTGAATACTTTGCCTGTGTGTATCAGTTGGCCAACAGCAAATGTGAAGCCATCATGTGGGCCCATGGGAAAGAACATTTGATTCTATCAGGTGGGCCCATACTATGTGTTCCATGTGCATATCAGCCGGCTGATGGCATGTGTTGTGTCAGGTGGGCTGATGAGGGAAAAAAGGTCAATCCTATCCAGAAGGCTGATATGGAATGCATTGCCTGTGTACGTCAGTCAGCCAATGATGGGTGTGAAGCTATTGTGTGGGCCCATGGGGATGAATTCCTGATGTTATCCACTGGGCTGATGTAGAATGCCCTGCCTGTGCATATTGGTTGGCCAATGCTTGCTTCATGTGGGCCCATAGAATGTGTTGTCTATATGTATTGGCCAGCAAATGGTCTGTATTGCATCAGCTGGGCCCATGCAGAATGCATTTCCAGTGCATATTGGTAGGCCAATGGGATGAATGATGTTGGGTGGGCCCACAAACAAGCAGTGTTCAATTCTATCGGGTGGGCCAATGCAGAATGTGTTTCCTGTGCACATTGGTTGGCACATGGCATACAATGTCAATCATCTCAGCTTGGCCCATGGCTTCCATCTTCACTTTCAGTCGAGTGGTGACATGGCAAGATGACTTCAGGGATTCAATCAACATCATTTATTCAAATTAATTGACAACCTTATCACTAATCAATCCAAAAGGCTGAATGTAACTGTAATGTAATCTGATATACCATGACACATTGTCTAAGCTGAAACCGAGACATCCCAATCTACATCCTTGTATTTCGCATACTCTGACTGAGGTGTCCCCACAGAATTGTGAAGGCTATCACACATGAACCATGCCCACATGAACTGATCACCCCTGAATGTGATGCCATACCTGACAATGTGTCTGAAGCAGCCAACAATGGCACCAGAGTTATATCACAACTGAATGCTGAGGTTGGACAGCGTCACGAGGCCATCGCAATAATGGCTGACACTGGTCATAATGTCGAACCCTTCTGGAGTAGATCTTGGATCTTGGTGAAGAGGGCATTGCCTGTTACACATGACAGCTGCACAGTTGAACACCGAGGCCCAAAGTTGCAGATGAATATACATGCCATTGAGGTCATTTTCCATAGCCCATCGAGCAAGTTTCATCTGTGTGATGACCGAAGCCCAATACAACTCTGGGTGCATCACCTGCAGAGCTGCCGAGGCTGGGAGTGCTGAGCGCTGCATCAATATTATGACCTTTGGACCACCTTCCCCCTTCAGCATTGCTGAAACCTCCAGGGTGAAACCACTGGTGGGGGGAAACCATAAGGCTGACACTGTTGAGTGAGTGTTGGCATCACAGATGAAGAAGCATGTCATACCTCTCAGCCTTGCTGGAACCAGCAAGGGGCTATGTTGATGCATCCTGGGGTTAGTAGGTGGCAATTGCTCAGATGAAAATGACCAGAGAATGTTCTCCAGTTGGTCTCTTCTCCACTGGTGATGCTTGTTTTCAGGAGGTAGCCCATCCTGACCATGGCTGCTTCCATCTTGGCCTGTGGGGTTGGTGTAAATGGTTGGCCCACAGGCGATAATATGTAGCCTTACTTGAATCCACAGGCTAATGGCATCCAGAAGGTACCATAAGATGATATGGCCTCCGGAATCCATGAGCACTGAGGCCTTCTCTAACAATTGTTGGGAACTACAAGGAAATTTTTGGAGCAGAGTGTCTTCATGTTTTGTGATCCTCCCTGTGGACCATTTGTTGAGGGCTTTGTTGTACCAAATCATGTCAAGATCAAGCTGAACTGTGATTTGTTAGTAAACCTCTGACTGAATGGCAGGAATGACCAACTCGTGTTTGCGTATGCATTGACAAGCACTTGGGCTAACTGCCAACAAGCGAGCATGGTTGGCACATCCAGTGCCAATGGGGGCAACACCGATGGTCACCAGCTGCTGACATGGCAAGTGAAGAGTCAGCGAACAAAGTCAGCAGCAATGCATGTGGTATGCAAGGCCCAGTCAGTAGGAATTGGGGTCATGATTCAGGCAGAGGAATGCGAATCATTCATTGATGGCTTATATACAAAGGCAGCAAAACACATTTAATAATACTATGTACATTGCTGGTATTTTAGGTGATATTGGTGATAAGGCCGCATGTAAAGTCACTGGTCCATGCCAAATCACCTATGGGAATGAATGAGCGCCTGCTTCACCTCATCAATTAGCACCTCAAGTTGGGATATAGTGGAAGTGGCCGCTGCAGCGATCTGGATCTTCTGCTCCAGCAAAGAGGCCATCGCCTCACCAAGGTGTTGGAGATGGGCCCTCACCGCCACAATTTGATTGAAGAGGGGATCACCATTCACCTGACCGGTCACAGTGGGACCTGGCATGAGTATGGCTCCAATCGGCTAAACATTAGCATCAGTGGAAGTCCAGGATGAGTGAAGGAAATGACTGACCAGTTGTTCAAAGTGCTCTCAGGTCATCTCCATGACCTCCTGAATAGTCAAGATTGGGAGCTTGAACCCCAACCTGTTGAAGTGATCCTTCCACCAATCATGAGGATAGTTACAAACAACTTGGTGATTGGACCATAGTTCTTGGTCATTGGGAGAGCAGCATGTGAAGAATTCATTGTGCAGTTCCTTGGCATTGATGGTGTTGGTTTGGAAGTGGGCGAATTTGGCAATGACGATGTGGAGGAGGTTGGGCATGGTTGGATGAATGTTCATCACCAGACATAAGTTGATATAAGGAAAAACAAAATGCTGATGGAGGCATTAGCTACAATAGCATACCAACTGGCCAACCAACCGAAGAGGCACTCACATCTGCCTCCCATTGAAGGTGCTGGACAAAGCTGGCATCTGAGGCACATGGCTCCAGTCGCATACAAGCCAGATCATGGCAAATTGAGATGTAGCATACTCCAAGATGTTGGCAGCATCCCACACAGTAAAGTCATTGAGTTCATATGTAAAAAGTGTTGTGGAGTTGGATATGATGGGTGGAGCTGGGACTAGTTGAAGTTTTGACCGAAGCAGAATCACAAGTTTTATAGGGATCAGCATTGTACTCATGACCAATCCACTGTGGGGCTTGCCATTGTCCAAATGCATGTGCATGGACCTCTGTCACTCCACCACCACTGCCACCCCTTTTGTTCTTTCAAAACTGTCTTGTCCATGCTATGAGAGTCGGAGATACATCCAACATCAGGAAAATGTGGTCAGGCTATATAGCCACCCATAGCGCTATAGACTGCTATACAGACTCCATAGCCCTATAGCTCGTATAGCCAAGTGCCCAATTGTGCAGGCTTACTACACCAGTGTATAGTGCTATATAGCTCTATTAAAGTTGCTATAGCTGGGTGGAACATACCACAACTATTGTAGCTATTATAGCTCAAAACACAAAGCAAAAATTTCTCTTAATAGCTGTTTGTTGCCATGATAGTGTTCTCAAAATTAAAAAAAAGCGAAAATTCCAAATTATATTTCAACTACTACAATACATGTAAACTAATAACTACAAAACAGGCAAAAATGCGAAAATTACAGGAGGAAGAGGCAAGAGAACTAGAAGGAAGAATCAGACAGGAAAGATGAATACAAAAAAAAGAAAGACTTACCAAATAGTGAAAATTGCGAAAATTCTTGAGGGAAGAGGAGGGAAGGGAGCTAGAAGGAGAGGATCAGACAGGAGAAAGTGAGAGTCAGAGAAAAGACTTGCCAAATGGTCAAAAATGCGAAAATAGTTGGGGGGAGGAGGAGCAGGAGGAAAGAGAGCTAGAAGGAGAGGGTTAGAAAAAAGATTAGTCAAATAGTCAAAAATGCGAAAATTATGGAGGGAGACTTACCAGAGTTCAAAGCACCAGCACCAGTACCAGCACCAACAACATCAACACCAAGAGAAGGATAGAGAAGCAAGAAGAAGAGAAGAGAGGCAAAAACTCGAAAATTGTAAGAAAAATATGGAAGATAATCTAATGAGGGGGCAGTGGGGGGGGAAGGAAAGAATGGGAAAAGACTTGTTGGTTGACCGCATTTTTGCTTACATAAGCTGTGCCAAACAAAGCCACAACACAAGACTTGGTGAATTTTCGAGTTTTTGGTTAATAGGACTAGGATTATGACAGTAAGAAAAAGACAATGAAATTGACTGTTAGCATTAGGATTTTGAATACACATAAGGTGAATTTTCGCATTTTTGCTTACATAAATAAGGTGTACCTTAACACTTTTGAACCCTTCAATTCCAAGTATTTTCCTTATAACTCACTAAGATCTTGACCTATTGAAGTCATTAGACTATGGATAGACTTCCCTTGACAAGGACTACAACTTTGATTTAATCGAAAAAAGTTCCCATGGTCAAGTTGCTTTCTTGAACCCTTCAATTTCAAGTATTTTCCTTCTAACTCACTAGGATCTTAACCTATTGAAGTCATAAGACTATGGATAGACTTCCTTAGACAAGGACTACAACTTTGGTTTTCATCGAAAAAAGTTCCCACGGTCTACTGGGGTCTATAGTTGTTGAAATGTTTTACTTCTAAATACACTTACCAAACTTTATGGTAATATATAGACTTTCATGATGTCTATACTGGTCTATAGTGCTGTGATAGCTTGCCATAGACTGTATAGAGCTGTGGTGTGCTATCGGGGCTATATAGAGGATGGTCCTCTATATAGAGATATAGTTTTTCCTGATGAAGCCTGGTGCACTGCATAGCAGCAGTGCTTGACCATGTTGTTTGCATCAGCCTCCTGCAATCAACCGACCTATTGTTCTGATTTGTGAATAAAGAATTCAACCGTCCATGTCATTTCCTGACCGACCAGCAGCAGTTCCTCTGCCCAACAGTCATGCAGTGCCAGTGTCTGAAGCCAATGGACACAGTAAACTGTCACATGAAGAAATTAGCACCAAACAGAAATAGGTAGGTCAGTGAAGTGCACACATTCATTCATCCAGTCATTACTTCTGGAATCCCCCTGGACATCAATGGACCAAAACCATGCCAGCGTGCTATTTCTTTGACCGCATGCATTTGGGTCTTCCACCACTGTAGTAGCCTTTAAGTTGGCCTTCTCCAATGGCCGATATTTGGTTAATAAATCATTGGTGCTGAGATGGACAAGCTGCTTGCAGCATTTTGAGTGGATCTGCATGTTCAAGTGAAGGACCTTGTTGACCAAGTGCACATGAGCCCATGCCCTGGTCGACCGTGCTTGTGACTTTGCTGACTGAACCATGGTGTGAAAGAGAACAGCCTTGTTGGCCAAGTTAACCCTGATGGCATGCAATGCATCATTTGCTTGGCCTTGTCTTAAGGATATTTCTTGCAACACCAGGTTGGCAATGCCCCACTTGGCACATCTTTTGATGCTGATGTTAGACAGCAATGGAATCACCACAGTCTCGGGATTGAACTTGACCGGCATATCAAATTCTTCTTCATCTGACCGATCTGGATTCCAACTGGTCATAGCTGTCAAATTCATCAAGTTGGTCTTGCCATTTGTGGCAACACCCAGTGATGGCCAGCTTCTGGGTGTTGGTTGGCCACTTTTCCAGTTTCTTCACATCAATCAGGAGGGCTACTTGTGCCTCCTTGAGTGTGATCCCACAGGCCAGCCATGTTGCAGCACCACAATGGATCTCACTGGTGGGCCATTGCATCTGGTGGTTCAACAGGTGCAACTCTTGCTATTTTCTTGTTGGTGCTTTGCCAAAGCATATCAGCATATTGCAAATGGATGTTCTGTTTGCCCGTACCTTTGGTCAATTGAACTTCATATATGTCCATGGCACTGGAATTATGAAGTCAGTCATCCTGAGTGGCAGTGGCCTCTGCTTCCCATTTCTTCCCATTTGGCAAGGGTGTCATTGTTGGCGGTCTTGGTCAACTGATTAAATGCATATTGGCTGTCTTGGACTCCCTGTACAGCTTCCTTGAATTTTCAGCAAAGAAATTTGCCTAGATGCTTTGAGATTTGTGAACTCAGTCAAATAATATTGCTCACTCATGCATATCATCTTCATAAAATTACAGTCGTTCATTTGAAAGTCCAAACACTCCTTTTGGTGGGGGGTGGACATCCCTCTCCCTGACAGCAATATTATGTTCAAAGGCACCCAAAGGGTCTCCATGATTTCACCGTCAATCCTGGCTGCACCAGTGATGAAGTTGGATGTGTACCATACATAGCATTTGTCTTGATGGCTGTGGACATGCTAGAGCCCAATGCCTGGAACAATCTCCATGCCCCATGGAAGGTCAAGATAGGGCGACTCCTCAATCTGCTGGTTGAGATACTTGTGATATTGACAGTTAATGTTGTAGAATGTCAATGCACAGTCGATCCCATCGGTGTTGTACCCCAGAGCTTGGCACAGTGCATAATCCATGTTCATCTGCCTTTTGGCTGACCGACACATCAGTTCAACTCGGTTGATTTAGTATATCAGACGGCGAACCTTTTCCCCTTCTGAAAGTCAACCATTGAATGGGGAATGAAACACCCATGTCTGGCACAAGCACACCCACCTATCCCTGTCACCTCGAGCTTGTGGCACAACACATTTGCCTGGTTGACCGCTCAGTGGTTGTTGCAATCTGATCTCTGCACCGTGTCCTGCACCTTGGTGAGATGCATTTTGTATTGGCCATGACCAAAGATCTTAAATACAACCATGCAGGGTTGGACCCATTCCTATCTGAAAAATTGACATTTACCCTGGGCTGTGGGCATGTAGGACAGAAGAGTGTGAGTTCCCCTGCCTTTGGCTTTCTCTTCTCATGGCTGAACCCATGCCACTTGAGCTGTTTCACTTGATTCCACTGCCTACCCACCCTCATCAATTCCCTGTATCAGTGGCCATTGTGAGCGATGCAGCAGAGAACATCAACATCACTCACTGGAACCAGATGAGGAAACACACTGGAAGTAACTCACCTCAATTTACTGGAGTAGTTTATGGTGGAAGTCCCACATTCCAGGTTGTCCAACAGGAAGTCGTCCAACACCACAAATGTGAATGTCGTCTTTGGCGAAGTGAAAGATGCCGGGAAGAGGCCCATTTCAAATATTTGCATGTCAGGGCTTAGTGTGTCAGCGCACCGACAGAATCTGATCATCAGGGAGTGGAGCCCTGACGTGTCCACTACTATGGTTGTTCGAGGATTATTGACCAAGGGTATCCAAGGGCCCTCAGTCAAATGGTCTCCCTCACCATCTGTGTTGCACCACTCATCTGTGAGACCAGGGCAAGGCTGGCCAGCATGACCGAGGTGGATTTCCAGGCCAATCTTGGTCAAGGAAGTATCCTCAAAGAATCCCCCAGTTCATTGACTGATCTGATGGAATGGCATGTGGCTGTGCATCGTCTGACAGCAATAAGTACAGAAGAGTGGCTCGGCCACGCAGCCATAAAATCTGTAGACCCCATCCTTTGGACAGACCAAGCAGGTTCTGTGCGAAGGTGGACCCTCTCACCAAAGGAGCAAGTCCAAGTAGTCGTTGGTCTTGGACTGCCACTCACACAGATAGTCATTTTGACTCTTGATACTCGGTGTCAGTGAATGGGACAAGGCAAGCAAATGGTGAGCTTGCAATGGACTTGTAAAGCCAACACGGCTCCAAGTTGCATTGGGCGAGTTCATAGTGTTCATAGTCACCCTCCACATGAAGTTCTCTGGCAGATCCCTGCTTGGTAGGGGATTTTCTGGGGGATGAATGAACTGATTTGGTTTAGTTGGAATATTGAGTTTTGACAAATTGTCCTTTATCTCCCCTAGATGTTTGTTTGTCCTCACATTGAACCAAAGAGGATGTTTTCGGAGGACTCCAGGCCTTTGGCTTTGACTTGACCATGTTCCAAAGTCCTGCTGTGATTGTCTGGATGTGTTGCTGGAAATGGGATACTTAGACTTTGGGACAATACGGTGCTTACATGCAACTGCCAAATGCAATGCATCATATGTAATAGTCACTTTTACCTCACATGAATCATGAGCAAGGATATTCATGGCACAATGTCAATGGTTTATAGTGATTATGTATATAATACATTGAGAGCACTTTAGGACCTCTTACTTCACTTGACATACCTGCCCATGCATCTGCACCACTCAATAAGTCTTGTAGCAATGGGGATCACACTATTTGGTACAATCTAGCCCTTACATGCAATTATTACACTGGTATGTCACTCATCTGAATCATTGCTCACACGACCCTTCCGTCCATTTTCTGTTCCATCAACCATATCAACCCTCTCCTGCATTCACATTTGCAGGTCCTTTACTCTAAGCTACCTATTGTGACATGGCTCAGATGAAGATAAAAACAGGGGATCAGCCTTGGTTGAATGACAGAGAGACAACCACTCTACAGTCCCATGTTGAGGACTGGGAGAAGGTAAATGGGACCAAATGACAACATATCTTTAAAGCAGCTGCCAGGGAGGCCAAACTCTTTGCTCCAAAGATGGACAAAGAGCTCTTGAAGCAACAAAAAGAGGTAAGTGTTTCAGCTGTGATGTGGTCATGCTGCATTGCAGTGACAATGGACAGAAATACAGGCAGTGGTTCCATAATCACAAGAAACACAAGGCCGATGCAAAACCACCAATGAAGCTCCAAAAGAAATGGATGGCACACCGAGTCATTAAAGAGGAATGGAAGGCTGACATCCTTCAGCAAATACAAGAAGAAATTGAGGAGGAGACTGGGGAGAAGCCTGAGCAGAAAGAAGTTCTCAGGAGGTATCAACCCAAGATGACAGCAATCATGAAAGGGCTGGATGACAATAAGTTGGAGGAAACCCAGGCTAAGGCTGACGAGTCAACCAATCAAGCACCTGATGCCGCAGTCCAGGCCAAGATGGCGAAGAAGAAGGGCAAAAATATGATCAAGCACTTTGCCAAGGAGATGTTTACTCAAGCCGGTATGAGACTGTTTGTATTGGGATCCTGGAAGGATGAGCAGGGCAGCCTCCTTACATCTGGGCAAGTTCATTCATTCATTCATTTGGTTGGTCAGTTGGTTGGTTGGTCATTGTGCTTACATGGTTTGGCAGGTTCAACTTCAACGAACAGCTCAGCAAGGGCTCCAGCTTCATGAAATGCAAGGACTGGTAGGTCATCTTACCAGCATGGGAATTTTTCATCAGTGATGTGTTCGGTGAGTCTCAAGACCATGTTGGAGGTTCCCCCATCTAATCTGTGTCATGTCCACCAAGATCAGGATCAAGACCAGGATGGAATGCTGCTTGGAGGCATTCACCAGGGTCCCAAACCATACTATAAGTTTGACCTAGACTACATGGGTTTGCCGATCTTGCCGGATATTGATGGTTTCTCACTCAACACCAAGAAGGGTGTCATTCGGTCATTCCTCACCATTCATTATAGTAAGCCCCTGACATCAGAAAACCTGCACAATCATCTGATACCCACCACCACAGGAATGTGCTGTGGAAACACATAATGCAGTTGTTACGGTTGTTTGTGACACCTTTCATTTTCCTCTTCACCTTTTCACATCTTCACCTCTTCACATTGACACCATGTCACAGTGTCACCATTTCCTGATATCACCCTATCTAGGGTTACCCTCTGACTTCACCTTATCACAGGTGTACACCCCTATTCATTGATCTGAGATCAATCTCGATCTATCCTCGGCAAGTCCTCGGATATTACTTACATGCTGATACCTAGCGTATTCTCACAGACCCTTAACATGCATACACCATGTGTATTCCCATGGACACTCATCTATACTTATATGGACATATTACTTACTTACCCTTGACCCTGGACCCTGACTTACTATTGTATATAAGCAGGTCATAGTCTCGATGATTCCTCATCTTGACCTACGCTGGAATTACCCAGATACATCCTCTGACTACTAGTTAGACACTAGTGAATCCACCTTGATTCCTTTGACTTCTCTAGAGTGCCACCTCTAGTAGATTGATTGACTTGAAACCTCCTCTGATTACCATCAGCGTAACAGCAGTAACATATCTCCCTACTTATAGGACAGCCCATGTTGACAATGCACCCTAAGAGTAGGGCCAACCCACCATGGGCCCACATTATAATGTAAGCCTGACCTAAGGGACAGGCCCACATAGGGGATTGTACCCCAGTATACCGGGTGGGCCAGGGGCTAGATAAGAACCGAGGCTCAAGGGTGGGCCTACAGTATATACATTATGGAATACACAAATATATAGGATAGTGGTATTATGATGTATAGCCTTGACTGGTAGGTGCTACTCAATGGCGAGGGGTGGGCCCATATACACTCGCCAACACTTCGGGATCACACCGGGGGGGCTGTGGCAATGCCGAACATAATGCTGCAAGGTATAGATTGTCACCGGGGTGATTACCTCATGCTTCGGGATCACAGCAGCACCCCCCACAGCCGAACAGTCAGATATGCACATATGTACTATTACATTCCAGTGACATAGTACATGGCCTATGGCACTTTGGAACATAATGCTGCAGGGTATAGATTGTCACCGGGGGTGATTGCCCATGCTTCCACTGAATACCTCATTTTATACATACATGCCAGCGACATAGTACAGGGTCTGGTACTGCCGGACATAATACTGCAGGGTATGTATTGTCACCAGCGGCGGCTGACCCATGCATGAATATCCAGCGAGGAATCACATGGTGAGGGAAATGATGTTAAACAGCTGCTACTCTGCTTTGGCTTCCGAAGACAACTTTTTCTTGTTGAATACCAGCTCTGCAAATATACGAATATAAAGGTGCCAGCGATGCTGTGCACTAATTGTGGCAGTGGCTGTGCCGCGACCTTTTCTGTGTCAAACACCGGCTCGGCACTCTAATTTCATTTCATATGTGGTATTAGGTCAAGACAATGTGCAGTGCGCATGCCTCCTTACGTTCATCCTCATGTTATCAATGTTGTTTGTTAGTAACTGGTCTGCCAGCAGACATATATAAGTACAAAACCTAGCACATTATATGAAAGCTATGATTCATATTCCTCCTGACTGGGCCTTAGCCACAACCCATATTGCTAGCGAATATGTCTCTCGCCAGTTCCTTGCACTGATCGGCGGATGGCCCAATGCTATTCCCCCACTTGAACTAGATTTTGTCATGCTCATGTCATGCTCAAAACTGGCTAGTACCCTCGCCGATGCCTATCAGAACCCTGGTATGACTCTTTCGGCGGTGCCTTTGTGATCTAATCACATCTATTAGTTACTATAAACTTCAATGTAGCCAGGTATGCAGATATTCTGCAGATGATGGAAAAAGGCATCAACCCTGCTCGCAAAGACAGCCTTCTTGCCCAGTATCCACCTGACAGCCAGATATATCTTGATCAGCCCACAGTTGTATGTGACAAGTTCAGTATCATCATCTTCTGGTATCTCCCTGGCGCAATTGATGCGGCCATACAGGTAAGCTTTCCTCAATTACAAAATGATTATATTGACGGTGTTAGAATGACATGGCAGCAGCTACTGCAATGATGTCAGTTCCACTGGCTAGAAGTGTGATGAGCAGCGCCACCACAAATGATAAATGGAGAACCCATTCTTCAAACTTTTATCCAAGTCCAAGTGGGGGTACTCCGGGGTGTATCAATCTGTCCCCAGCATGGTTTTCGCAAGGTTACCCAGTGAGTCACACCTCATAATTGGCAGAATCCATTCCCACTCTCATAGGCACCAAAATTTCATCTGCATGTCTTGGCGACTCCTCAAAAGGTTGATGGAAGGTCGTTCTGTCAGGCCATGCAGAGACTGGCGGCACTCATTGCCGCTGCCTTGAGAGTCATGCACCCTAAGCTCTATTGGTCATCATTGGCAACAAAGCTAGCCTTAGGTCTCTGGGCAGCTGACATGAAATTGGACGAAATGGGAGATCGTCTGAGAGAGTGGGGATCTGTATTCACCGCACTCGCTATTGTGTGCAACCGGCATTTGCCGATGCACTGTGATCCAATATCACGTCCCCAATGGTTTGACACCATGACCACCTTCGGCAATTATGGAGTAGCAAGCATTAAGATGCCAAATCTAGGGATTGAAATTGTCTACCCAGCAGGTTCTATGGTCGCCGGATCAGGACGAATTATCAGGCATGGATTGGATATGGCAGATGGCGACCGAACAGCCTGGGTCTGGTACATGAGGGATGATGTTCACGAGTTTGTGGATGTCCCACGAGCGGACTACTCTAATTACTGGTCACTGGTCACTGATGCCCTATGGAAGTAGAGGTTGTTGAAGTCTGCTTAATAGATGCCAGACTGGCGCTTCAGTGCTGCACTGTCACCAGTAAGCCTACATGATGCACCGCCAGTAAACGTCTACCCTACAGAATACAGTTGAGGCCAACATTAATTTTGCAGATCTGGTGGTATTCAACAAAGAACAGGTGTCTGTAAGTCAAAGCAGAGCAGTAGCTGTTTAATCAAACAGTACATTCAAGGGAGGAAATTGAAAGTATTCAAGTATCTACATTATCTACATTTCTTCGCCGGACTCAATTTCTTTGCCAGATGGAGCCTCTGCCTGGTCAACTTCATGCAACAAGGATTCCACTGCAGGAAGAACTCGTTGATGGACCTGTGCAAGGTGATGTAGGCTAATGAGATCTTTGAAGATCCTTGTTAGCCGGTCTCTGCTTTCACAGAATGCCATGAGCATCATCCGATTGCTCTCCAAGACTTCATCCGGCTTGGGATCCTGGACATCATCATCTGCGCCTAAGGCGCTGCCAACCATCATTTGTGCGAGACAATCAACTAAGAGACGTTAGCATGTCTGGTACTGTCTGAATAAAATACACCTACATTCTTCACCCCCAAGGTGCTTCACAATATCCATTGCCGACCGCTCGGCATTGCCAACCAAAGATTTCAGTGTGGGATGTTCAACATTGCTGCCGGTGGACAGTCCTGGTGCTGCATCTGCAATAGCAGGTGGTGAGGCAACAAGCAGTGCAAGTTGCATCACCCAAATGAGCTCTGGCTGCCAGTCCCCAATGGGGGTTGGCCGCTGACATCCAAACTGGAATGTTGTAAAGGATGGTCAATACTGACTGTGGGGAGATTATGTCACTTACATCTATTGTTGGTGTCATAACCAACATGCCTTGAGGTGTCTGCCTGAGCGGGCAACAGGTCAGAGCTTGTTGCCGGTGGGGTGGCATGAGGGACTGCCATTGGGAGATTGAAGCCGAGGTTGAATGGCTTTGTGGTTGGCGGTGGCATGGTTGGCGGCGGCATGGTTGGCGGTGGTGTGGTTGGCGGCGGCGTAGCATTGGACTGGACCAGAAGATTGAAGCCCATGTTGAATGGCTTGGGGGCCAGTGTAGCATTGGACTGGACCAGAAGATTGAAGCCCATGTTGAATGGCTTGGGGGCCGGCGGTGGTGTGGGCTGAGGAAGTGTGAACCCCAGGTTGAATGGTTGCTGGGTTGTTGCAGCGCTGGGAATGCCCAAGGTAGGAGGTGCAGCAGATGGCGCTGCGGGCAAGTTTATGCCGAAGTAAAATCTTGGTGCTGGTGGTGGCGGTGCCATAGAGAATCCTAAATTAAAACCTGATCGGGAGTTAGGACAGTGCATTGCCGAAGTTGGAAGGATCAACTCATGAGGGTAACTGACATTGACCAGCGTGTCAGCTTCACTGGTGAAGGTAGATTCGTCAGTTTCCATTGGCATTTCAAATCGGACTTTGGATTGGTATGGGCGATTGGAAGACATATGTTTTGACAATAATGGAGAGTTGGGAGGGTTCTATTGACTGATTATATATCTGATCTGGTTGTGGGTCGCGGAAGTTGAAATTGTGGCACCCGAACAATGCATTGTCTGGCCGGCGAAGCCCGGAACACGTGATTCTCAAACAATTCCTTGCCGCGTGTTCGGTGCTGAGAAGTGACTGACTTCAAATTTTCATCAAGTCATATAGATACAGTATCAGTGCGATTATCTCCCATCTTGCATTTATTTTCCACACCATGTCCACCGCTGAATTTTCCAACACTGCCATTGGCAATGCTACCGAGCAGGTTATGAAAATTGTACAGGAAGCGGCAAAGTTGAAGGATGGTCATCCTGATCACCTCAAGTTGGCTGTGGAAATTGGAGATCTGATGGTAAGTGTTCTTTTAATAGCAGTGCAGGGTGATGTGTTGACTGCAAGTAGTCGCTGGTATTCAAGACCCATGCCATGTCGGTGACGACTATCCTGCTGATCCTGCTTTCTGCAGCCATGGAGATGCTGGAGCATCTGGATGCGATGCAGCAACCTTTTGCCAGTGTACCTGCATGGAATAGGATCACAACCAACAATCCCCAAATCCAGCAACATCCATTGAAGGAGAAGGCACGAAGCATTGCTGTTGCCAGGCCCAAGCCTCAGCCTGTGGCAGCGGCAAAAGCATCCACCGCTGTTGCCAGCCCCGCCCAAGGTGAAGCCTAGGCCAAAGCCAATGCCGAAGAAGAAAGCGGCGCAGGACTCTGAGTTGAAGGGAAATGACACAGGCTGTAGCCAAAGGAATTCAACACCGGCATATACCTCCTCCTAGAAAGGTAAATGGAAGGAAATAGTTGCAGCAGAGAATAAGGGAGAAGTTGCTGAGGTCAATTGAGGTCAGCCAACTCGAGTTCAGAAGAGATGCAAAGGGTCAAATACCAGTTCGCTGCCAATTGAAGGCGGCGCACCACAACATCAAATTGCCAACACTACCGAAACGCAGGTAAGTACTTGTGCTCATAATTGCCATGTATATTTAAATTTGCTGAACAGACTAAGACTTCCAAACATCCCAAAGTCACTACAGAAGCAGTGTCGCCGGTGCAAAATCCACTGAAGGAGGATGTCAAAGCGGTGAGTTTATTGATGCAATGGATGATTGAAGATGTGCTAACATATAATAGGACATGGATGGTTCGGAGCTTGTTCCACCGTGTGATGGGTGCTGGAAAACATAAGTCATTTTTGTCATTTCTCAATGTCATATATTCATCTTTCATGTCACCAGGTGCATCATTTGTCGTGAAGGATATGGTGCCACATGTGCCAAACTTCGAGCTTGTGGTCGTTGCTCCCGGCAAAAACTCAAATGTTCTCATGCCAAACCCGAACCTGGTGAACCTGGCCGAAAATGATCTTGCTCATGCCGCCAGACAATGGCAGAAGGTGATTTTTACCATCTTGATTATACCACATTGCTGACTTGTTGCAGATATGCTGGTGTCTGAAAATGACGTCGGCACTGCTACCGCTGCCATGTTGATGCCATTGCCGGCCACCTCGGTGCCACCAATCACCACCCTAGAGGTGGAGACACCACCTGCTGCGCCATCGGCGTCCTTGAGACAGGATCCTCTGATGGTCACAGACGATTCTGGCGATGGGCTCACAAAAGTGTTGCAGGAGATGTTGTTGGAGGTGATACAAGAATCAGCGAATTTGAGTGCCATGAATGCCACTCTTAGGGACAGTACTGCCAGCCTCCGGGCTAGCGTTACCAAGCTGCAGGCTGAGAATACCGCCTCCACAACACAGTTGAAGACACTGGAAGCCAGGATCACCACTCAGGATGCCGCTCTCCTTGAATTGCAAGGCCTTAGGGCAGAGGTAGAGACATTGCAAGATCAAGTCAAGACATGGAAAGAGAAATCAGCAACAAGGCAGCAGCACCTTCGACGTGTTCAAGATCAATTGGGGCAACAAGAACTCGCCACCAGTGTCCTTCGGGATGCCTACAATGCCATCTGGCAACATCTTATGGGACAGCCAGGTCCATTATCTTCCCCCTTGGTAAACTCCTTGTATCTTACCAACCCTATGTATGGCGGCGGTCAAAGCATGGTGCCCATCAGCATGGGTCAGATGCAAGCCATGGAAGGCTTGTATTTCAACTTGCCATCATCGGTTGGTAACATCTCCAGTGGCTCCATATTGGGCGGTCCATCCACTGGCCCATCTGTTACCACCAATGCCGGCAGCACGCATACCGGCAGTGACACAATGACCCGGGCGGCATCAGGTGTAGGCACCAATAGATAGATGATGTTTGGTTCCTGTATATTACACTGGTGGCGTACCGGCGGTGACACAATGACTCGGGCGGCATCAGGTGTAGGCACCAATAGATAGATATGATGTTTGGTTTCTGTATACTACACTGGTGGTTGCATACAAGCAATGAATTGTTTTGTGGTTTCGGCACTAATTGGACATTGATCAATGCTGGCATACATGTGCAGGCAGCGCTGCCAGCACCATCTTGCTATCTGAGGGCGGCAATCAACATGAACAGTTGTCATACACTACTGCTATTACTGATGACCAGGATCATTTTCTACCCCTTCTAGGTTTTGGAGCTTCAACTACAGCCACCTTGCTCCTAGTTCTCTTGGCCAGCGTATCACTGACTGGTGGGGCAGGGCGCCGCTTCCCTGAACATGTGGTTTGTACAAATGATGTTGGTTCCTGTGCGGCCTTTGTGGCCTTTGCAGCCTTTGAAGCAGGTGGCTTATTCATAGTAGCATTGGTCTTTGCATGCCTTGCTACAGCCAGAGAGGTGGAAGAATGTATTATCTGACCGGTAACAAGGTGGCGCCGGGTCAGCATTCCATCATTGTATTTGGAAAGCACATACCAATGCCGGCGGTGGTTGTTCCTGTTCCCTGGCATTGTTGGACTTTGATAATTCCTTACCACCATCAGAGGCTTCTTGTTCATCCAAGCTTTGCTCACTAATGATAGCATGGACCTTGTTGCGGTGACCTGACCAGCGAATGACTTTTTGATAAGACTTGGCCGGCGCCTCTCTGTGATGGTTGGAAATCATAGCTTCTTCCCCATCATCAGAGGACTGATACTCCTCCCTATTATCCAAGCTTTCCTCACTATCCTGTAAATGTTTTGAGGCTTCTGTGGCCTTGGGGGCTTTGTGGCCCTTGTTGCGGCGGCACAACCGGTGGATGACTTTCTCATAAGACTTGGCTGGCAGCTCCATATTGCCATCAGTGTCTTTCCAAGCTTTGAAACAGAAGGTGGGACGAAGCTTCTTTTGCTGTCGATCATACCAGAAATTCAACAGAGCAGTAGCACCAGCCTTGTCCATCTTGGACGGTTCCACCACCTGTATGTCCGCCGGCCAGTAGGTGCCATCAAAAAAATCTGATTGATTCTTGATCAAGTCCCCCCAGGGCACCGCCGCCTTGACTTTCTCTGTTCCTATGCACATCCCTGTAAAACCTTCAGACCGGTCAATGTTGTGAATGAGATATCCACCTACTGTAATGCTTGGTCAAGAACAACTGAATGACATGCTGCTGTTCGGTGCGTTTCAAACCCAAGGTATCGGATAGCATAGGCAACCCCTCATGATCTTCTTCCAGGTCAAGGAGCTCCTGCTGCATCCGTTTCTTGGATGTGATGACCTGTGGAGCATCATCATCCTGGACATCTGATCATTGCTAATTGTTAGGACAACAATGAGGACCAGAAGCTGGGCATCTCACCGAATTGTTCCCCAGCATATTTCCGCCACTCCGGCATGAATATCTCTTCCCAATTCCTTGTCTTCATGAAGCTTTCACCGCCTCCAAATTGATCATTGTGGTCATGTCTATGATCAGATATCAGACCTCTGATCAACAAGAGTCCAAGACAACACTCACGCTCCTAACAACAGTTTGCCTCTGCTGTCCCTCCATGCTGACATCACAAAGACCCTCATCCCAGCCTGTTTGAACATTTCAGCTGCGAAGTGCTCTATCATATCAGCACCTTTTATTTCGGCGAGATTGGCCTGGACTTCGTGAGGAGCAGCTTCGTTGTTCCACTTATCTGCAAGAACATTTGCCTCTTCCTTCTCCTCGGCAGACAGACCAGTGAGGACAGTCTTGGTAGCCTTGGGCCACTTGGCAATCATAGCCTCACTCCCAGGCATCTCTCCAGTCTCCTCTCGAATACAAGCCTTGTTCTGCTCAATTAACACCCGGTGAGCTGTCCATTTTTTGCCATATTTCACGAGAGGCTTTGGAGCTTTCCGGCGACATTGGTTGTACAACCACTCCTTGTATGTCTGTTGTAATAAATAAATAGCCAGCAAACCCATATATCATACATTGATTCATACCTTTTTTCAAGCTTTCAATAAGGCTTTGTCCCAAGTGGGAGCTTGAAGGCAAGCTTTCTTGTGTACGGCGTTCAAAACGAGGTTTTGTTGTTTACCTTTGACAGACCTCCAGTACTCCAGGTGGGCCTGGAGGACTACGATTTCTGCCTTGATCAGGGGAAGCTTGGTCTGCTGGGGGGCAGTGGCAGGTAATTCACTGCAAGCCATGGTAGTATATAGCTGATGAGATGGATGTGCGTAGAGTTGAAAACTGTCGGTTCCAGACCCTTACTCGGCTCTTTCGGTGCCTTCATATTATGTACGTCTAGCTACATGATCCATCTGCATACAGACTCGTGACAAGTACATACCACTGAGCAGATTCCTAGCTTCAATCATCACTCATCATCAAAATCAAAGCATGGGAGGACCTAGAGTCCAGGAGTGGACACCCACCAGCAATATTTCTGTTGTGGAATGGAAGAAAACATTCCGGAGCAGGAAAGCAACAGGGAAATGGGTAGAGAGACCCAAGTTTCGTAAAATATGTTCAGTTACAGCCACCCCTACCAAGTCGCCAATGAAGCAACCATCCCAGGATATGCTATATCATGGAGGAGAAGATTACTTCGAGGACATGGACCAGCAGAATGTCTTGCCACTGCAGCTACCCAAGTCCCTGGTGAGCACTTCCAGCAACATATGGTGTCCTGTTCATCATTCAGCTTGTTTCAAGAGTCAGAATGACTATCTCAGGCAATGGGTTCCAAGGACCAAAGAGTATCTCAATATATTGATTGAATGGGAAGCTCCTGCCAGTCGGTCATGCATAATTTGTGGGACTGATGGTGTATACAAGTGTCACGGCTGCTTCAGTGAGCCCCTCTTTTGCACAAATTGCTGCAGGATGGAACACTGCAGGCTTCCATTTCATCGCATCAGTCAGTGGACAGGAGGATTCTTCGAGGTCAGCTGCCTGGTCAAGACTGGACTTGTTATCTCACTTGGGCACAATGGAAATCCTTGCCCATGCCAGGACTACCAGGGCAATGATGTAGAAAACCTGTTTGCTGACTATGACACCGACAACGCCGAGGATGCCGATGACCTACCAGGGCCAACTGCCAATGCCACTGAGCAGGGTGAACAACCGACCGGTGAGCGAACTTGGATCCCCAATGATCTACCCACTTGGGTGCCGTTCATTAAAAATAGCAAGAAAATAACAACAATAGTTGACAAGTTCAGAGTACACACCCACAAAATCAAGTATTGCATGTGCGCCGATGCGCCGACTGCTGATATTCAGCTCTGTCAGATGGGTTTGTTTCCGGCGTCCTTCACCCAACCCAAGACTGCCTTCACATTTGAGGTCCTGGACAACTTTTTGCTGGACAACTTGGAGTGTGGGACATCAGCAATGAATTATTATAATAAGCTGAGGAGGATGACCACATCTGTCTTTCCTCATCTTGTGCTGGTGAGACCATTCATTGTGCGGCAGTGGCGTGTTAATCTATCGGCAGGACCGTTACTGGGAGCCAATGAGGGTGGCTAGGCAGTGGCGGCAGCTCAAGCTATTGAAATGGAATGGCTTCGGACATGAGTCCAAAGATAGGAAGCCTGGAGATCTTGCTCTCTTCTGTCCAGCATATCCCCAGCCAGGCATCAATGTCACATTGCCCCCTGAAGATGAGCAAGGGGAAACCAACTCCCAATCTGAACTCCCAAAGCCCAGTTGGCTCTATTTCAGATCGCTGGTCATGGATGGCAACTTCAAAGCAGAGCACCTGTATGCAGTGAATCCGATGGATGAAGTCTCCTTGATGGATGGTCGGGCCTTCATGGTCGGCGATGCCACCTACAAGGCTCATCTTGCACAAGCAAAGGATGCCATACAACGGTCTGAATGCAACAACCATCGCGCCGTGAATCAAGCAAATGTATCCTGGCACAGGCTAGAAGCAACCGGCATCGGCAGTTGTGCATGTGCAAGGCATGGGTGCTTCATTCCACATGCAATGGTCAATTTTCAGAAGGGAGAAAGGTATGCACATTTATCTCGGCATTGAGACATTCCCCAACACATACCAGGCAGATGAACATGGACTATGCCTTGTGTGAGGCATTGAAACACAACGCCGGCGGCATTCGGCGTGCACTGACGTTCTATGATGTCAACTGCCAGTATCACAAGTATCTCAGAGACCGAGTATCTGACAGCCCATTCTTAGAGCTTGACCAGGCAATGGAGATCATGCTGGGGATAGGCCTTTGGCATGTGCATGGCCACCAAGACAGCTGCTATGTACGATATGCCTCCAACTTCATCACCGGCGCCACAAGAATTGACAGCGAGATCATGGAGACATTGTGGGCACTGTTAAACATCATCTCGCCATCGGCGAGGGGAATGGGGACGCCGCACAGGAAGGAGTGCTTGGACTATCAAATGAATGATTGCAATTTTATGAAGATGATCAGGATGAATAGGTCTTCATGTATCTGGTGAAAGTGCACTCACCAACACACTGCAGGCAAGGCGCTTTGCTGAAAATTCAGGCAAGCTGTGAAAGGAGTCACTGAGAGCACCGCCACGTTCCAGAAGCTAAATGAAAGCACCAATCCAGCAAAAGTGATAGAGTGGGAAGAACAGGAAAGACTTGCACAGCAACGCCACACCATTAATCCAAAGGCCATGGACATATATGAGGTCCAACTATGAAAAGGTATATCCCAATATTTAATTATTTAAATATGAAGACTCACTGCAAGCTAGCTCCAACATGAAAGGAACAGGAACTGCAGTTGTTAGAGGTGAACGGTTGGCGACCTGGTCCAGCGCACCAGCGAGGAGCGGCGACATGGCTGGCAGAGGGCCTGTCAATTGAGGAGGCACAGCTGACACTCCAGATGGATCTAAGGAGGTTGGGGCGGCATCCCACTGAAAGCCAGCGGTTGGATATTGCTCGCCAACGGGAGAGACTCCAGGGAGACATTGATCAGTGGTTGGCACAGGGTCTTAGGTTCCTTGGCGACGGCATAGGGGACGGCAACATCCAGGTGATGGAGAACGAGCTGCTCATGCTTGAGGAAGACCAAATTGATGAGATGGCGGATTAATTCAAACTATTCAAGCCTGAAAAGATGGTCTTGCCTTTGCCATCAACCCTGGGCCCAGAAAAGTGTGCCGACCTTGGCGCCGCAGATCTTATTCATCATGAACTGGCACTTCGGGAGGGACAGGCCAATGATGCCCTGCACAATATCAGAGTGCACTTGGCAGATAAGGCTGTCATTTTCAGGACTACCGTCAGAACAGCAAAGTCTCAGGCCATGTCTACCAGAGCATGGGCTCAAGTTCATTCAGTGGACCGGGTGGTAAGTATCAATGCAAGCATTTACACAAAGTGCTGGACACAGCTGGCTAACCTCGGCGCCGACGATGAATTGCTGGAGAGATATTGCCCCCTGCTCAAGGAGCATCTCGAGGTTAGCACAGTGGTAGCTGATCCAAATGCAAGAGGACAGAGAAACAACACATTGGCCTGGTTCTGGTCAATGGATGTGGAGGGGGATTCTCATAACAGTGATTGGCTCAATGAATGTGAGTTAATTATGCCAATTGGGTGCGCGGTACTGACATTTTTACAAAGTTTACCATGTGCACTGGCTTCGTGCCAAGGCATTAAAAGACCGGTGGGAGGAAGAGTACCTCCTTGTGCAACATGAGATGAATTGGACATGCAATTTCTTTATGTATAAAGCAAAGGTGTGGATTCGGTTGGGCGCCATCACCCAGGACAAGGTTGGACACGTTGCCTATGTGGCGCGGCAGTGCAAGATGTATCAATGTTTGTGTCAGGATGCCATGGATGCATTCAACAAAGCAAGGGATACCACCAACAGAACGGCGATCGTTCCCAAGGTAGAATAGCTACCACTGTGTATATAAGATTCTAAATAATCTTGTGCTTTCCAATGCCATGTATGTCTACCTCCACAGTCATGCCACTGCCACACTGTAGGTCAGGTGCCATTGTGCAGGCTCTACCGCCGCACCACCTACTGCCAGACTGTCTACCGCAAGACTATTAGTGTCTACCGCCCCACTGTTAACCACTGCACTATGTTTGCCAGCAACCTGCATTATTACATTCCATCTTAACTGGTCTTTGGGTTTATGTACTAATTATACATGGCTTACTCTCCCTCCCTCTTCAAGTACTTCACCAGCCGCTCTGTTGCGGCGATGGCGGTGCGCACATCCTGACCCAATGCAGTCTCCATCCTCAATAATGATGCTGTAACTAGCCGCGCCTCAACAACCTTGCTCTCCAACAATGCAACAATGTGCTCTCCTTCTTGCACTATGCCAGCCTGGATATTGGCCAACTGCTGCACTACCAGCATTGACCTTGTGTGAACCAAAGTCGCCGGCGTCACAAGCAAGTGGCCCTCTGGCTGCATTGAATTGTCAGATTATGTGATGATGAGGAGAAAAAAGACTCACCAATTGTTCAAAGTGGGAATTGACCATTTCCCTGATGTCACGGAAGTTGGGGAGGTTGGTGGTAAATGTCTGGTAGTCAGCTGTGTGAAAGGCTTCAGTCCACCATAACATTAGATATGTCCCGGCGATGCAGCCAGTTACCCATGCGGTGGACGGCGCCACCGGCAGCTTCATGAAGGCATCATAGAACTCCTGGTAGTTCAGGAGCTCCATCTGGCTCATGCTGAGCATGCCCACAAAGAACCGAAGGTTTCATGAGAGCGGCGGGCTGATGCCCATGCCTTCACAAAAGTTCACCCAAGGTGAAATAAACACCTGTGGTCAGTGGTCAGTCTAGATATATCACTGTCCGGTGAAAGAACTTACATCTCCTTCCCACATCAGATACTTTGTCACAATGTATCGCACTTTGGACGATGTGACAACAGTACTTGTGTCAAGGGTCATCCGAATAGCCAGCAATCGGGATGTGGCGAACTCAAAGATGTTTGCCATCTCGGCAAGACTCACGGCCTTTGGGGTGCACAGGTAACTCTGTTCGGTGGATGTGGGGTGTGACATGATGAATATGATGATAGATGGTGATCTCTAGTGCCATTTAAGTGCAATGAAATCAGAGTTTGAACACATGGACTGATCAGTCTCTGAAACTGCATCCATTCATTTCATAATGTACATTGTGCTACTGTACAGACATGCAATGAAAAACAGCTCAAATATAGTTTGATGGCGGAACTGAGCGCGGTGCCATCAATGTTGGCACCATCTGTGTTGGTGTCATTTGTATCAGCGCCCAATGTGATCGGCATGTACAGTCATTGCTGAATAAGGAAATGCTGATGACATGTGTGGCGGCATCAATGCACTATTGAACAATGTGCTCAATAAGGAAATCTCAATGACATAAGCAGCAGCCACAGGTCCACACATCCACGTTACACTTGTACTTAAATTCAATCACTGCACCGCCACTCATCATATACTTCATACATCCACTGCCATATTCACAATGTCATCTGGACTTGATGCTGTTACTGCTTCCATCAATGCCGCCTTCCACCAGGCAGGCAACAAGGTCAAGCACCTGCTTGGCCAAGCACTGCAGCTGGATGCTGCAGACCCCAAGCACATCCCCATTGCGGTGGAGATGGCACACACTTTAGTATGTTTTTTTTTCATTATATTCACACTGCCGCATGGATTTGCTAACATTAATTTAGACTCGTGTATTCTCGGTCTATGCCTTGTAGACCACATCTGTGCCACCCATTGTGCTCTCTGCGGCGGCAGAGTTGCAGGAGCACCTGGACTCATCCTTCTGCCAGGTGGTGAGTACACCGGTCTGGACCAACATTTGTCCAGACAATCCCCGCAGCAAGGCCAGCCCCCTTCACCTGCTCACTGTTGGTTATGGCCACTCGGCACCTCCTGCAGCACCTACCGCTGGCCCTTCTTCCAAGGCCAAAGGTAAGCAGAAGGTGGTCCCAGAAGAGGACACTTCTGAAGACCTTGGCTGCCAACTGGAGCGTGGCAAGCGTGCCTGACCCCGTGCCATGAGCGTAAGGAGCCCAAGCGCCACTCCAAAGCCCAAGCGCCAACGCGCCAAATCCAAATCCAAGGCCATCATCACTAGTGATGATGACATGGAATTGGACAATGTGGCAGTGCCTGAGCCAGCACCAGCACCAGCACAGGTGAGTTACTTGTTTTTTCTTAAGTGCTTTTCTGACCTGCCACCAGCCTCTCAAAGGTGTCCTCAAGAGGACAAGGGCATGTGTTCCCAACGTTGTTTCTGGCAAAGAGGCCAGCTATGTGGAGATAGATGAGCTGGATGAGGAGCCAATGATTGTTGGTCCGGCGCCAAAGATGGGGAGGCCCTATGTTGAGATCCCGGTAAGTTTTTTTTCGTTTCTCATCATCACTATCTGATTGCATACAGCCTACCCCAATGGTCAGCGGCAAGGTGGCTGGTCCAGCCAATGGACTTGAAGAGGACTCCCACACTGATACCACCTTGCCAGTCATAAGTTCAATAGATACACCACGCATGTGTGGTGTACATGATTATCACATCCAGCTCCAGCATTCGCTGCTGTTATGCTTCCAAATCCACATGAAGCATTATTGCCGCGTTGACATTCTACGGCCATGTTTCTTGCCATCCTTCGTTGGCGTTCACAAAACAATACATGCACGAATTAAGTTTCCAGGGAACATGGTGTGCAGCCTGTGAGCGGCGAAATTGATTATAATATATGCTTCAAATCTGTGCTGGCATGAACGGCAACACATTCGCTGAAGGATATGCTACAAACCTGTGCCGGCGTGAATGGCATTACATTTGCCGAAGGATATGCCATATTAATGTGAGCATCGCCGGTGAATTCTCCCCATAAAATACCATAGAGAAATCATCCGAGGCAAGTATATTTGGCATCATCCCGGATACGCAGGCCAATGGCAATGTGTGACAACCGGTGCATTCCCAATATGATTTGCCGAACCTGTTTTCTGGGGATACAGCTGCCGATGCTGATACAAAGTTGCTGGTACTCATTCTCGATGTCCACCCATCCAGCCCGCATCCTGGTAGATACTTGCCAGGGAGAAAATGTCCTCTCCCTGACCAATTTCCGGCATCCATTTTCTGGCATCCACTCGCCGATCCAACCGTGGGCCCACCCGATATTGGTGAGAAATGACTTCACCATCACACCGTGGGCCCACCAGTACCACTTCTCGTTTGCGCTGTGGGCCCACCCTTCAATACAGTCAACTATGAATCCTGACCCATGGGCCCACCCCTGAATATAGAGGCTAATCTACTATGGGCCCGGCCCTAACATGTGGGTACAACACGTCCATGGGCCCACCCCTGGACTCAGGGTGACATTCTAATGTGGGCCCACGGTGGGTTGGCCCTACACTTAGGGAGCATTGTCACCATGGGCTGTCCTATAGTATAGAGTGAAGTCACTGAAGGGGCTCGTGGAAAGCCAAAGGTCCCAGTTCCTTGGAGTGACATAATGAAGGGACAGTCAAGATTCATCTCCAGCACATACCTGCCAGATGGTACACAGATCATGGAGCCATCCAAAATGCACCGGGATGAAGCCATCTCTTTGTTGGAATGTTGGTTGGACCAACAGGATAACCAAGTCAGCCTAACATTCCAGTTCAAAGCTTGGATTGATGACAAGGGCAAGATGCACCCACCAGTCGGCAAAGAGTCTGATGACTCTGATGGTGATGCCAACAACAAGGGTGTGCAGCCCATGCTGACCAAAAAATCACAGACCACAGCTGCACTGTCACTGCCTGGACATGCCAAAGGTTGACCAAGATCCATCAAATGGCCTTACATCAGTTCTGCCGATGAAGAATCCAGCAACACCAATGCAGATGTGTCCCTGCCGAAGCAGGTGAAGAAACATGCCCCCAACCATGTAGGGACAGGTGCAAATGCAGAACTCAGTGATCAAGTCAGACACCAGTCAGAGTCAGATGACCAACCACCACCAATGAGCTTGGGGAAGAGCGTCAGAGTTGAGCCTGCCACCATCTTACCCCGGACAGACCGGGCACATCAAGACCGACCAATTGTAGATCCAGGCAACTATAATAGCAAACCCGCTGCTGCAGGAAAGACCCACATGCCCACTGCACAGGCGACTGAGGGATCAGAAGATGAAAGTTGCGACAGCAGTGCAACAAACACTGGATATCATTCTTCCCAAGTTCATCATGCTGGACAGCATGCCCATGGTTTCAGCCCACATTCTACTTGTTGGGGTCTGGAACACATTCATGCATCCCCAGCAGTAAAGGTCCCAGCACCAAATAAGACTAAGACTACTGGGGATGTATCACTGTCAGTCAAAGCCCGGTCGCTGAGGAAGACTAGGGCTACCACAGATGCTTCACCAGCAGTAAAAGACCAGTCACTGAAGAAGACTAGGGCTACCCGATCAGCAGCATACCCACTCTCTGATGCACCAGCAAAGCGCACCAGAAGCAAGGTTGATGACTTGCTAGGCACCAGACCTCGGCAAAAGCCCAAGAGATATGCCGACTATGTGTAGTTGTCGGCAGTCTCATTTCTATGGGGTTCATTGGCCAGCTGCTCACAGTATGAACAGCTTTGGTATATATCACTTGGCTGATAATTGTGTACAGCTTTCTCCTTGGCCATGAATGATCTCGCTATATACATATCATTTGTTAACAATCTTTGTTATCAGTACTCAGCCTTATACACTACTGGAATGGGGAATGTCCCCTGCCCATTTTCCTCATTGCCAGCAGAAACACATGCAGTGGATCATCAATCTGGCACTGCATGTTCATCAGATGCTGAATCCTGACAACATCCTCACTGGCTTCAATCAATCAATTGCGCACATCCCGATATGCCAATATCAAATCCCAGTTGGCATACATGATATCTCTTGCAGACGCGACACCATCAATGGCCGAGGTGTGTCCTCAGTCATCTCCTGTCAAGTGGAGGTCAATGTGATGGTAGTGATGATGGGCTGAAATTTGCACGTACTTGTCAAAGTGTCAATGCTTTCCAGCCTCAGAGTTGCTCAGCGCAGCAAATCCTTGGTGGTTTCAAACATGTCACTCAGCAAGCCATCTCTCGGTGCTGGAGATGTATCCAGCGAGCCACGGCTAAAACCCATTTTGTAGTAAGCCTGAGTGCCAGCGGAGTGACTTTCAGACGACTGCAATGTCTTAGCAGCTGCACCAGACTGTCAGTACCTGCAACTCAAAAAAAAATTTCCAACCGACCTGAGTTGACTGAGTTGATCACTGGTGCAGTGGTTCCACAAGTGTGAAGGTCATCACCTCTGCCTGATGGTGAATCTCCCTAGCACATGTCAAAATTGGCTGAGAAATAGTCAGTCTGGAATGGCAATGTACATGACTGATACTGAGCCCATTCAGTGCAAAACTCCGTCTTAGATGGGCCAACCGAGGTACATAATATCCCATATCAAATGGGCCAATGTCATAATATCCTCGATGTTGATGGGTGGGCCGATGTCTATATTATACTTGATGGTAATGGATGGGCCAATGTGGCCGCTATGTGTAAGGGATTTGATAGAGATAGGAGGGCCGAGATATTTGAATGATGTAGACTAGTGGGCCAATGGAACTGTCAATTGAATAGACGGATGGGCCAATCGACCTGTAGATTGTATAGATAGATGGGCCGATGGAACTGTCGATTTTATAGATGGATGGGCCGATGGGACTGTACATTACATAGACGGATGGGCCAATTGACCTGTAGATTGTATAGATGCATGGGCCAATGGGACTGTAGATTATATAGACGCATGGGCCGATAGGACTGTAGATTGTATAGACGCATGGGCTGATGGGACTGTAGATTGTATAGATGCATGGGCCAATCAACCTGTAGATTGTATAGATGCATGGGCCGATGTAACTGTCAATTGAATAGACACATGGGCCGATAAACCTATAGATTGTATAGATGGATGGGCCAATGGGACTGTACATTACATAGACGGATGGGCCGATAGGACTGTACATTACATAGATGGATGGGCCGATGGGACTGTAGATTGTATAGATGGATGGGCTGATAGGACTGTACATTAAATAGATGGATGGGCCAATGGACCTGTAGATCATGTACACAGATGGGCCCATGGAGCTTTAGATGGTATAGATGGATGGGCCAATGGACCTGTGGATTATATACACGGATGGGCTGGTGAAACTGCAAATTGTATCCATGGATGGGCCAATGAAGCTTTAAATTACATTAACGAATGGGCCCACAGAACTGCACATTTTATAGACAGATGGGCCAATGGAACTGTCACTTGTATAGATGGATACACCAATGGAAGTGTTGAGTGTATAGACCAATGGGCTACAATATGGTAATCAGTGCTTGGTAGTTAGGACTGAGTGGTTGGTGATGGGAGATCATGACTCAGGACCCAGGACCCGGAACTGACTCAGGACTTGGGACTGACTTGGGACTGACTTGGGACTCAGGGATGACTCCCTTCAGGGTGCTCGGTCCTCGGTGCTCGATACTCAATGCTCACTACCTGATCCACAGGACTTGGTGCTCAAGATTCGGTCCTCGGTGCTTGATACTGGATGTTGACTACCCGATGCTCGGCACTCAATGCTTGATACTAGGTGGTCGATATTCAATATGCGACACTCAATAGTGTGTGTTCGGTACTAGATCAATTCATCAGAGGCATGGAATTAATGAATATACTAATCAGATGGAATCTTTACCAAATGCATCATGGCCCATCCACATCAAGGAACACCTGCATAAATATGGACCGAATCCCTCATATACCATGCCCAAGCAACCTGATCCCCTGCTACTTCATAAACCCCATGCCGGACTATCCTTCCTGAAAATGTGATCATGACCCCGGGATCATACATGAACTCCAGCTGAGGGCTTGGCATGCTCATGCGAGCATTGGAATAATTCCCCACAGTTGTGAGAATGTCAAACCACTCTGGGGAGGATAAGTGGTCTCAATGATAGGGGGTTTGCCGATTAGAAATGACCGAGAGAGTATTGAAAACAGAGGCCCAGAGCTTGAGGGTCTCTGACATGTTCAGAAGATTCTTGGTTTTGGCCGACTCCCCGAGGCTTGAAAAGGCTCACATGCCTGCCCAGTACTGTGGAGGATGCATGACCCTGAGTGCAGCTGATGCTATAGCTGCCAGCCTCGCAATAGCTTTGAGAATTTCCTTGGAGCATTGACCCTTCAATGACGTGGATACCTCTGGGTCTGAGATGGTCTACAGGATTGATGAATTTGAATACCAAGGAACATCAATATGTCATGGCATCTAACCTCATGCCCCTGCTGAAACCAAGCCGGGGATATATTGATGCATCCGGCAGCGATTTCACCGTTCCTGGAGCCTTGGCCAAACCACTCTTCATTAGTCTGCCAACTTCCCCCGACTTTGACACTTTTCTCAAGTGTGGGATTCAGCAATTGGGAGGCCTTCCATATCTCTTCCTGTAATATATTCAGTATCCTGTATCCATTGGGCAATAAGGGGGATGAAATGCCTGGGTTGTGTTGGTCAGTGCACTGGGGAGATACCATACGAGAATGGCACCGGTAATGTCGAGAACTGTGGTGGGTATGTCGATAAACATAGTACCATCATGGCCAGGAGGAGACCTGTCAAGCAACTCCTTCTCTCTCTCTTCATTATGGCCAGTGTCCTTCAGGGATATCAATTTGCTGTATCTTACAATATTGATCTGCATCTGAACTGTGATCAAGGCATTTAAATGATCAAATGGAAGATCCAAATTGGAATTCCGACTCACTGGGATTGTGATATGCTTTGATGAGGCGATCGACCAATCAATCACATGCCATGACCAGATCTGTGTCTAGGTGGGGAGAAGGAATGACCAGCTCCCCTCCCGTCTTGTCCGCATTGAATTTCTGTTCTGTATATTCACTCGCCTCATGAGCGACAGTAAGGGCCCAAGAGATCCAGAAGGATATCTCAATCTTGGAGTCTGGGGACACATTCATGATGGAGGGACGTATTTGATGGTGAGAAACCCGATGGTGAGTACTGGATGATGGCAATGCTTCAGCATTAAGGCGGGATGTCAGATGTGGCTAGGCGGAGATTGCGAGGATCAGATAGTGTGGACATGATGCATCATCTTGGGATGTAGGACCGAGGTCCAAATACCAAGTGTCGAGTATCAAATGGGGACCAAGTACTGTGTGGTGAACGGGTTCCGAGTACCGAGGCATCAGTACTGAGTGTCCAGTATCTCATTGCCGGATACTGGGTGGGGCCCAACTGCCGATGGCCGATGAGCTGTCAGCATTGACTACCAAATACTGAATGCCGAGTCCCAAGCACCGAGTATAAAGCACATGAATATTCAGTGATGAATAATTCGGTGGAAGAATTTACTCCTGAGTATCTAGGACGACAGACAATCGGTGCTCGGTGCTCGGGCGCCGAGTACCAAGCACCAAGTATTGAGCACATGGATATTCGGTGATGAGCAATTCGGTGTATGTATTGAGTGCCAAGCACCTAGGACGATGGGGCAATTGTTTCTCGGTGCTTGGTGCTTGGTGCCCGGTAAACAACACAACAGGCTTTGGCCTTGGTGGCCACATCATCCGCCGGACACGGTGATTATGTACATTTAAAAGTGACTACAGGATATACATATTGATGTGGTAATAATCAACCCTGCAATCCAGTGTTTCAAACCTCCCTGGATCTCTGCAATCGGGTAAGGATACCAGTGTAGATTTCGATCTCGCCCATCTTATCTTGGATGCCATCCCGCTGCTCCTCAATCAATGTCAGCAAGTGTTCCTGAATCCACCAAAGTCCCATCACTGATGGGATCGAGGTTTGATCCATCCTTTTGGGAAGAATCAGACCATCATCCTCAACACCACCCTGGATGTCTTCAGTCATCAACTGTCTCGGAAATTGTACTCGGTGCTTACCAGCCAATGCTCATAGTGAAATCCACAGCACTCCATCACCCTATTTCATCGCCAGGGTTCGGTCGGAATTTTGGTTTGCTGCATCTACCACGGATGTGCGAGGGATCTCCAGGATCTACGCGATCATGGAGCCGAGCAAGGTGGTCTACAAAAATGTGGTCCGGAACCTCGGTCCAGGATTGCTGGGGAATCAACAGCAGCATATGAGCCACTGGGATCAGCATAACTGAGATTATGTTCCATGCAGCTGAGTACTGCAGGATTGGCGTCACAAAGGTCTGTCAGTGATGTCAGCAATGACTACAATGTAGGTACCATTGACTTACCGAGATTTCCCACTGAAGCCTGGTTTTGAAATGAGTGATTTGAGAGGAAGACAAGTCCATGTCAGCTGCCTCCCTCTGACATTGAGCTATGCATGCTCGGATGCGGGATGCAGCCATCAACAATGTCGCTGCAATATCTGCCGTGCTGAGACTGATCGGATGATATTCAACATGTTGAAGGTCACCGGGAGGAGATGATGCAGAACTTTGATGTAAGTCAGGCATGTTTAATGGAACAGTAGGTTGATCGAAATGAGTATAAAAGTTGTTCAGGAAGTTGAAATATGAGTGGCACTGATAATGACAATGGATCAGGGCGTATATGTACAAGCAGCTGATCGATGGATGACATTTTGAAACTCCGACATCATTCTTGTGACATAATCAAACACCAAGCCACACAATGATTCACATTGTCCAGAGGGATGCTGGACATCCTCGGTAGTCAATATTTATTCATCTACGGTATCCATTGGCATCTTTGTAAGATCCTGGAAAGCGGCCTGTGCATCCTGTGCAAGTAATGAGAACATTTGAGATTGTCTTGCTGCATAGCAGGCATGACCCCAAAGCCAGTTCACCGATGACTCCTTCATATCTTCATCCCATTGGCATCTCCAGTTCCACCACTGTAAGTTCTTCTATCCATCAATCCCTCAGGGCCTTCGCCTGAAGCCAATGAACTCGGTAAACTTCACATTGGTTGGGTCAAATCATCATCACATTTGGAACGGATACCTAGACTCACATCCCTCATTCCATGACTCACTCGGTCAGGATAAATCGATGTTGAGAGACCAGAACCAGGCGAGGGACTCATTCCGCTGACCTCGGGCATTTGGATCACCGACTGCAGCGCTTACTTTTAACTGCTCCTGCAGGAGGGGTTGGTATTTTAGAAGCTGGAGCTGCCCCGGACCAAGCTTCACCATCTGCTTCCTTGTCTTCTTATATATACTCGCATTCAGAGACATGGCCTGCTCCACCAACGTAACCTGGGACCATGCCCGAGTCTTCAGAGCTTGGGACTTCACCTGCCTCACACTGGTTCGGAAAAGGACCGCCTTGTTCCACAAGTGAATTCGGAGATTGTGAAGAGCATCATTGGCTTGTCCCTCATGAAGCGACATCTCTAGTGGAATCAGATCATCTGCTGAGCAGCTTTTGAGTCAGTTGACCCCGAAATTGGATGGCAATGGGATGACAGTGAGTTCCGGGGTGTTTTGGCAGATGTCGAATGTCTTGGCGAAATCCTCTGGATCATTGTTAAGATTGTCGAGGATTTCCGGGTCCAAATCCCAGTGATCATCATCACCATTGAATTCATCTCTGAGATGTGAATGAGCAGACCAAGTGAATGCATTGATCTGCCCCTGCAGGCGATCCCATTGACGGGCAATGTGCAATTTTTGTGTCTCTGTAAGTCTTTTTCCGAGCCTTCGGACCTCGATCAGCAATGCAATCTGAGCCTCCTCCATGGCCAATCCCATTGATATCCATGTTGCAACCGATTGGTGAGAAGGTAATGCATGACAGGCATCATTCTCCTGTAGCAATCTGAGCTCAATCTCCTTCTTGCTCGGTGCTGCCGGCACAATGAGTTGAAAGATGTTGCTTCTGATAGAATGATCTCACCCTTCCAGATATTGATTTCATATATGTCCATCATAGCTGGATCACGTATTCTGTTTGATTGAGCTGCCCTCTTGCTCGCCAACCACAGTATCTTTGAGCCTTCAGGCGCTGTGCCATCAAGTCTATCAAATGCCTGTTGGCTCTCGGTGACGCCACGCTTCGCCTCCTTGTATTTCCGGCAAAGGGATCTTTTCATACAAATCATCTTGCAGAAATTGGAATCATTCATCTGAAAATCGAGACATTCTTTCCTGTGCGGCGAAGACATGCCCCGTGTAGACAGAGATATTAGATTCAGAGGGGCCCAAAGGGTCTCCATGATTTCGCCATCGATGTGGCCGATCCCCTCGATGAAGTTTGATGCATATCTCACATAGCAGCTGTCCTGATGTCCATGCACATGCCAAAGGCCAATTCTGGGCATGATGGTCAACTTGGGATCCATCGTCAGGAATTGGCCTCGGTCCACCCAAGTGCAAAAATGCTTTTGGTATTGGCAGTTGATGTCATAGAAGTTGACGGCCTTGCTGATGCCTTTCATGTTGTATGCCGCAGCCTCGCACAAGGCATAGTCCATGTTCATCTGTCTGAAATCAATTCATCATGATGGGTGACAAATGGAGTGATACTTGCTACCAACCTTTCTCCTTTCTGAAAATCGACCATTGAGTGAGGGACAAAGCACCTATGTCGGCCACAGGCTACCCCACCGATCCCAGTGGACTCCAGCTTGTGCCGAGCTGCATTTGCTTGATTGACAGCTCAATGATTGTTGCAGGTTGATTTTTCCAAAGTATCTGTAGCTACTGCAAGATGCCTCTGGCATCTGTCATTTGCCACCAAGAATCCCAATCCATCAGGAAAGCCATACTGCATCATCCGGGTTGATAGGATGCAGGTGTTCCACTTTGAAGTTTCCATCCATCGCGAAAGACCTGGTGTATTTCCACCTTGAATCTATCAATATCATTGTCCCCTGATCAATAGTGCGCAAGACTCACTCATCAAGTGACTCTTCCCTTGCCAACGATATGTTAATGCCAGGCTGAGGACATGCCGGGCAGAATAAGGCGAGGTCTCCCAGCTTGGGTTGGTTGGCAATATGGCCGAAGCCATGCCACTTCATGGATTTCAACTTCCTCCACTGCCGGGAGACCCTCATGAGCTCTTGGTATCGGTCCTTCGAACATTGCTTGTCAGTGTAATGTGCCTCAGATGTTATAGCTATTCCCCTACAGGAATGAGATATGGAAATGCACTTGAGGTCATTCGCCGAAGCTTGTTGTAATAGTTCATCGCCGAGGTGCTGCATTCCAGGTTGTCCAGCACAAAGTCATCGAGAATGTTGAATGTAAAGACAGTCTTTGGCTTGTTGAATGATGTGGGAAATAAGCCATGTTGAAACAGTTGAATGTCCAGACTCATGGCATCTGGACAACCACAGCATCGAACCTCGAGCCGGTGGACTCTGGACTTGTCAACGATGACCGTGGTATTTTCCTTCGGCTGGAACTCGGGGCCCGAGACAGATGGTATATCTTCTGGTTCGATGGGCTCGTTGGATTCGTCTTCTTTGAAGACATCCAACATATCCATGAAGACCAGACATTGCTTTCCATTATGACCGAGGTGTATCACAAGTCCGATATGAGCAAGAGAACTTTGCTCGAAGAACTGACCATTCCATTGACTGATCCAGTGGAAGGGATTGCATTGATGTTGACTCCTGCAACAGCCGGTACAATAGAGGGGCTCCCCAAGACAATCTTGACATTTGTATACCCCATCCTGGTCACAAATGGAGCACCTCCTGCCTTCCGGGGGAGCTTCTTGATCCAGGAGGTGATGGAGATACGATTCCTGCTTCGGCAGCCATTGCTGAAGGTAATCGTTCCGACTCTGCATTTCCCACATGTAGCTATTGTTGGAATGATGCTGCAAAATCTTCATTGAACTTGCCATGGTGTTTGGGAGGTGCAATGGCTCAAATGACCCTTGGTTGAGCTCATAAGGATCAGCAGCAATGTCATCTAAAAGCGGTAGAGCCTGACCAGTCTCAAGTGTCGGTGATTTCGGGGGAGAAGTAGGCATACACCTGCTGGTATGTTGTCTTGCACTGGCGAGTGGAACCTTGACCCATGTTTTTCTACCTTTCCTGCCCCTTGCTTCCACCCTGTATGATTTCTGCAGGGGTGTCGATTGAGTGATCTTCATGTTAATTCTGATGTCGTGAGGTGAGGTTGAGCTCAGGACAGTCAAACCAATCATGATTCCATTATGGTCTGATACAGTCATATCTTTGGTTCATTACAAATTCATTTGGATGAAAGGCAGTGCGTCCGAAATACAAGGATGAACCAAGATCTAAGGTTTGTTCAAAATTTACCTGAGGACAATTATTTGTTCGACCTTGCCTCTTGTTTGTGCATTCTCCATTCCATTTTACCATGGCAAGATCGGGTGATTCCACTCACTTGTCTGACAGAAGACACAGAAGATGTTTGCTATTGAGACAAAAGCTCATGGCACAAGAGATTTCAGAGCTGAAGAATTACCTTCCTGAATGGACAGCCGCACAATGGGAAGAGAAACCGGGAATTTTCACTGCCATCACTCAAGCGGTGAGGTTGTTTGCTCCGAAGCTCGACCATGGCGAATGGAAAAAGAGGAAGCAGGTGATACAGTCACCCAGGTTGCAAAACAAATGTTTTGATCTCTGATTCTTCTTTGGTCGCCCAGATGTATAAAACCTGGTTGTTCAACAACAAAAAAAGAAGCAAAGGAAGGACATGATAAAGTATGGGAGGAAATGGACCCCTAGGATGGTGATCTATCAGCAGAACAGAGATGACGTGCTCAAGAGGATTGAGGAGGAATATGGGGCGAAGCCAGGAGGTTGGGATATGTTCAAGCATTACCAAGCGACCGTCCGGAAGGTAATTGCAGAATTGTTGGATGATGAGTTGGAGAAGGCCAAAGAAACAGCCGAGGAATGGTCGCACAGCATTCCTCCACCTGAGATCCAAGCGCAAGTCACCGGTAAGAAGGGACCCACATACATGGAGCATTTCTCCAATGAGATGTGGAGACAATGTGGGATGAGAGTGTTTGTGTTGTCTGCTTGGAAGAATGAGCAGGGACAGGTGCTATTCGGGACATGAGTGCATTGCAACTGTCTTCTGAGACCTGATGTCTCAACATATTTCCGATAGCCACAATGATAATGAGGCATTGGGAGACGGGGACAGCTTCATGAAGACAAAGGACTGGGAGGATATCGAGCCGATGTGGCAAGAGTATGCACAAGAACAGTTCGGTGAGTGTTCGGACTGTCACGATTCCGAGCAATCCATTGATGGCTCCAGTGGTAGGTGCCCAGGCGAGGGATGGAGCAAGCCAGGACTCTGTTCTGGGATCAACAAGGCCTTCATTCCATGGAGCGCCATCATAGACAGGGAGGATGACTTTGTATCACCCATGTATCTTCTAACGGGCGTGCATTTGAAGGAGCCATTGAAGTTGCAAAACTCTGATGCCACAGCTTTGCTCAACTTCTGGCATGCTCACCAGCAGACAGATCAACATCCGATGTTTCAGTTCAAAGCATGGAGGAACAAAGATGGGCAGATGTTACAGCCAGTCATGACCACTGAAACAACCGATTCATTGTCTGATGATTCTGATGAGTTCAGACCTCATCGGGGCATCATGATCCGGAGGCCCCGGGACTCATCAACTGAATCCGAGATCGATGGCCGCCTGCACCATGCTCCCTCTGCAGATTCCCAGAGGCTTTTCGAAGACAACACAGATTCCTTGGGGAATGATGATCCGCAATACAATCACTCTGACATGCATGAGGATGATGCTAGGACTGTGAATCACACAGCTTGGGGTGCACCCAGACCACTGTCCACCTGGACCCTCGACTGCAGAGTCCAGCAACCAATTCCGAAGCCATGCGCGGTGAAGACGGTGAGGCCAGTGCATGATGCTGCTGGGGTCAAAGATGGGAGACCTCCTGGCTGGGCTAACTCATGCAAATAGTGAGATCGACGTTCAAGACGACGCTGGGACCGAGGAGGACAGGACCGATCCCCCGGTGCTGAAGAGAAACCAGTGACAGAGAGCAGTGATTGTCAAAGCTGGGAGGACGACTCGGAGTAAGACACTTGGAGAGCCATTGGATAGTACCAGGAGAGTGACAAGAGCAAGGGCAGTGAAGTAACAGTATGGCACAACATTTTGTATCTCTATAGACGTCAATGGCAGGTGGTCAACTATCAAATACCAAAGAATGAGCACATTACCGAATATGTCTGCATTCGGTGCTCGGGTGCCCAGCACATGTCCTGGGCACCAAACAATCAAATGCCTGGTCCTGAGTACTGACGCCTGGTGAGGTACATTCCCAGTACAGCATATTCGCCACCTTGGCCAATCCCATCGACTGCCAAACACTGAATGCTGGAGCATTGAATGTTGGGCCACCAAGCCTCGGCACTCGGGCCTCAGTGCTTGATTGGCGATCATTGGTAGTTCCACTCCCTGTTGGCCAGCTACTGAGAACAGAATCCCAGGCACCAATTGGCAGGCCCCCAGGCACCTTGCCCTCGGCCCTCGGGCTTCAGTACTATCTGCCGATGAGTAGATCACTGCTCTGTGCTCAGTTGTTGGCACATTATTGATAATTATTGGGTGCCGGGCTTTCAAGGCAAAGGGCCTGTGCTATTGCATCCATTTGGGGGACTCCTAAGATGATGGCGCTACTGTAATGTACATATCATGATCCTATACTATCAATGTCCTCAGGTATCTTCGATTGGCCCTGGTGAATTTGGTCTTCGAACCGTTGAATGAGTTAATCTACCACCTTGAGCATTTCGATGCTCACCTGCTCAGCCCTCTGCATCCTTTGAAGCTCGCGATCTGCCTGTTCCAGCTTATCGGATGTCTCCACCCAAGCAGTTCGAAATGGTCGCTCTGCCTCCAGGAGCTGTGGAATGGATGGGTCTGGAAGACTTCCATGTGTTTGTCTGAAGTTGGTCAGTCAGGTCTGAATATTTTGTACTAAGATAGTGATGAGAACCTAGCAATAATATGGCAGTGTGATTGATACTCACATCCGACGTCATGGTATGACCCAAATGGTCAGAACTCCCGAACCATTGAGTGGAGCTCCTCATTGTCGAGGCCCGGAAGTGCTGGAAGGCTTTCAGCAGTCGATATATTCACTAGGACAGTAATCAGATATAAACGGCACAGTTTCAAGAAGCACCTACAAGATTCCATGGGTTCTTTGGACATGTTGTCAGGCCCAAGGTAAAGTGCCGGACTGATCCATTGGCCCGGGGGATCACTGCTCGCATGGTGGGATGGCTTGGGCGCACCAATCCCACCATCAAAGCCGATGTCCGGGCCGAGATACAGCTCCCGGCTGATCTGTGGGGGCATGAAGTCATACTCCACATCATCGTCTGGCCCAAGATACAAGTCTTCTGATGGCATTTGTTAACTAATCAAAGTATGTGGGAAGAAGTCTCACCTGACATCGGCCGTTCCTTGCTTGTACAGGTGGCTGTCGAACTTGTCGATGATTGTGCTTGATTTGTGTCGTCAACATCCATGTCGATGATTTCAGTCACTGGTGGTTCCATAAATTGCACTGTGGGTTGGGAGTTCATTGGGATTGACGGTCTAACTGATCCACAGATCTCACAATTTGATTCTTGAAATGTGTGGATTATTCACAAACTCCTGAAATGTGAACATTGTGCAAATAATCCACAACAATGAAACATTTATTGACCAAAGTTCGATTAGCCTGTTTCTGTGTAAAACTGCTTCCTATCCAGCATTCATTACATTTTGCAACTCCCTACATTGATCTTATCAACATCTATGTCTCAACAGGCCAACAACTCCATGGGCGCACTCAAGGACATCGCTGGCAAGCTTCTTGCCATCGTCCGCACTGCTCGGCAGCTTCCTCCAGGCCCTAGCCACTTTGCTCTGGCAACACAGGCCAGTGAATTAGCACAGGCAAGAGCAGTCTGGGATCATGCACAATCGGCATGCATTCCTGGGCTCGTGTTATCTTGCTCGAAAGAATTGATCTGGATTTGCGCCCTGTCTCCCCCGGTAGCCCCCAACTGGAGGAGCATCAATCATGACGACCCCCGTCTCGAGCAGCACAGCTGGCGGCCACAGATCTTGGCCTGGGAAGCTTTGGAGGACCGGTCTTTCGACCTCCCCTGGGAGGTCGATGGTGTCACCAGCGAGAATGTACCTGGGCCCTCAACCAGCCAAGATGCCGAGTCACAGGCCAAGGGGAAGGGGAAGGCGAGGGAAGTGGACCCGGACACAGAGAAGGAGATGACAAACGATCAGCATGGTATGATCGACACCCTTCAGAGGCTCCATGAGAGCCTTTGCTGGGAGATCATTAAAAGGCATCCTTCCTTCCCCCTTCCTGATACTCCTCCTCACCCAACTTCATCTCTGCTACTCGATCAAGCTGCTCCCAGGTTGCAGCCCGAAGCCAGGTGCTGAGATAAGCAGGAAGAGGTGCAAGGTCTTGAGGCCCTCATCCAAAGCCTTCCTCTCTGACACCGAGGATGAGGATGGGCAGTGTCATATCCTGTACCTCCAGATCCGGAATTCCGGATTTCCCCTGCAAAAGTCTGGTTCTCCATCCTGTTGTCCACCCGGCGCTCCGCCTTCATATCCGTACTCACTCCTATCTCCTTCTAGAATACTGCTCTCCGGCTATCGGTTATGTTCTTTCCACTTTGCTTACTGATCCATCTGTTTGTACTTCATCCCCAACTTCACTGCTTTGATCTGTTATACTCTTACTAATAGCCTTTACTTTGCTGACTGATTTACTTACATGATACCTACAGTATATAAATTCCTGTAGCACTCCAGTACTCCTCAGTTCAAATATCATCTTAGTTCTGCTTGTTCCTGCTTCTCTGGACTTGAGTCTGATCTCTTGTCTACCTCCAAGTCTTAGGGTTAAACCTTAGGACTATATCTCCGGCTCTACCTTAGGGTAGTTTAACTCTGTTCCACTTCTACTCCGGACTTATCAGCAGTAGCCTTACTTTGTTCGTTCCTAGCCTTCCAGAGTTCTGTCAAACTCCCCCTGCATCTGACTTCCAGACTTCCCCGGACTTCCGTTGGACTTCCCCTCTGCCCCTTGGAAATTAAATGGCACATACTCAGGTAAGGGGTGCAGCGCACGAGCTGAAGCCAAAGCCCTTTGAGTTACCTTCCCCTTGAGCATGACCTTAACAGGCAGCCAGGAGGCACCATTGTGGTGGCAATACCAGCCAGTCTGCCAAAGTCCAAGGTAAGCACTTCAGTAATGTCAATATTGACACCATTGCTAATTCATGGGCAGGGCATGACCAAGGGCATCAAGCAGGTGAGATTTACCTTTGCCCATCAGCCATCACCCCTCAACAATTCTCAGATACATGCCGAGGACACCATCGGTCACATGCCGGCAAAGGGCAAAAGAAAGGAGAAGGCCAAGGAAGTCACTGAGCCCATTAGAGGGCACCAACTAGCCAAGGCCGATGCTGAGGCTAAGACTGTAAGTTTTCTATCTTTGCTCAGTGACTGAGTACTCATGGTGTGATAGTACAATCCACCTTGCAAGAGATGTGTCGATGAGCCTTGCCTTGTCATCCTCAGCAAGAGAGGGCAGGTCATGAGGTCCTGCTCCAAATGCAGCCTCATGAAGGTGAAGTGTGACCGACCGATGTCAGTCGATTCCAATACTCCTGCACCAGCTCAGCAGGCACTGATGGCACACCTGAGGTCCAGGGCTGCACCAGCCTCCAAGAAGGTTCCCCTGATGGCAACCCTGAGGTCTGAGTCCAATGTTCCCCCAAGGAGAACCAGAGCAACCTCACGCGCACGTCCACCGACTCCCATCTTGGAGTCTGAAGAGAAAGCTGTCAAGGGTACCAGTAAGCAATCATGTCTTTCATGATAATGTCCTCTAACCTTTGCTTCTAGATGTGTCCATCACAGGCAATGATGATGCTGACATGGAGCCCAATGCCGATGCCGAACGGCACTCCAACATCAACACTGAGATACTGGTTGAGCCCACAGCGGATGATAATATCATCATCAATGAGCCTCGAGCCATCACATCTGTGGATGACTTCCCTGCTGATCATTGGTTGAGTCCAAATCTGATGACTTCATCATTCCGACACCAACTCCTGCAGCTGGAGAAGTTTCCCTTCCTTCGGCATCTCTCCCACCAACTGTCAGCCCTAGTGTCAACATCGGACAATCACATCCAATATGTGAGAGAAGCAAGAGCAGTAAATTGGTGATCATATAAGCATCTCACCCTGTGGGAATAATGCATTATCATTGTAATTACAAGATACAGGTTGTGCATTAACAATTGTAAGCTAATAATAGCTAATGATGCATTACTTTATGATAATTATTAATCTTGGTTTGGAGGGTTAGAGGTTAGATGTTAGAGGGCTAGTGGTTAGTGGTTAGTGGTTACTAGGTTAGGTTAGCTAGGATTATATTATGCCTTGGTGTACTGGTAGTTACAATAGTTAATGCACAACATCAGTCTTGTAACTAGCATTCATTTAATGCATTAAAATGACATGGTAGCCTCATATGAGCTGTAGCACAGATTCGGAAAGGAGGAAATCTGAGCACATAGAGAAGGCACTGCCGTTCCGCCCGGCGAAACGAGGAAGTGGAAGAGTCTTCTTCAGTAGCTCATAGACTCTCAGATAAGGATGGCGCTTGTCAGGTTTTTGAAATTCAGTAGGCAGTCGAAAGTTGACACTGTCTTCATTACGGTATGGTGAGACATGGCTTGAGCTCACGGTGCAGAGCACATACCTCATTCGTGCGAGGAAAAGATGTTCAAGAATCCCAGTAGTACTGGTCTGTTCCTGCTTGATGATCGAGTCATTGAGGTATCGATATTGGTAAATGGTTGTCAACCGGGGGATGTTTGCAGAGATACGGGAACTGCTTGCTGAGATAATTTGCGAGACACGTGCTAGAGAAGACAACGCGGTGGAGTCGGATGGACGTCTCCGAGTCTAATAGATATTTCTTGCTGGCGATGGAGATAAGGGTGGGTGAAGGACGATAGAAATGCGGGCTCGCTTGACAACAGGACTACCAGATGTGATGCTGAGATGTCGATGTCGATGAAGAAACTGGGTGTCAGACAACGTGACTCGGGCGCTTGATCTGCACAGCAAGCTGCATGAGGATAAAGCAAGGAAGACGCACATGTACAGGACTTGAACAGCAACCTCCATCTAGCTCTAGGCGAGCATCAAACAATAAGTCCATTCCTTTTCAGCTTTCATTCGTCCCTGGGCGGGTGTGTTCTGTGTGAAATCAAGTACCTCTGAGTGAGTGATGGCGTTCGTTTGGTGGACAAGAGCTGAAATTGTCCCGCTCGTATTAGGTGAGGTCCCCAAGCGAAAATCATGTCTTCACGAGCCCCTGCAAAGCAAGAAAGATCAGCGACAAAGCCTCGTCAAAAGATGCAAGGACACACCGATCTCATTCCATGGCGTCCTACGGCTACCCGATAACCGGCGGATTATCACCTGTTCATTCGACGACACACTTCGAGTCTGGGACTTGGAGAGCGGTATGCAGGTCAGGAAGGCCTGGATGGACGAAGGAAGTGGACATGTGTACGCCATAGCACTTTCGCCGGACGGTAAGACAGTAGCAAGTGGGAGTCAGGATGGTACAGTGAGATTGTGGGAAATTGACACAGGCAAGGTCATCAAAAAATTGATGGGGCACACAAATGAAGTGTGGTCTGTTTGCTGGAGTCCAGATGGAGGGCGAGTGGTGAGCGGGTGCGGCGGTGGGACATTCAGAGTATGGGACGTCGAGAGCGGAAAGATAATCCTCGGAGCAATCAAGGCATGCAAGTTGGGGTACACGGTGGACGCAGTTTGCTACTCACCCGATGGTACAATGATTGCGACGGGCACGCACTCGTACGGTCCCCCATTGAAAGTGTGGGATGCCAACACAGGGGAATTGCTCAAAAAACTCGATGTATACATTCCGCCTATCTGTCTGGGATGGATCTCAGATGGAAAGACGCTTATCACCGCGGCATACAACCATATCAGGAAATTCGACACTGCCACCTGGACTGAAACCGCTGTTCTGGAGGGACACGGAAGTCATGTCACTGCTATTTCACTGTCTCCAAATGAACGCATCCTCGCAAGCGTATCAGATGACAAGACAGCGCGACTATGGAATCTAGAAACCAATCAGCCATCGGACACCCTTCTACCATGAAGACTGGGTGATGTGTGCGACCTTTTCCGTGAACGGAAGGTTGCTCGTCACTGGCTGCAACAATGACATATACAAATGGGATGTCTCTGCTATCATCAAGGAAGCTGGCCTCAGTCACCTTTTATCAGACAATGTTAGTTTGTGTATATTTCATCCTCGATCATGCTGACAACGGGTCATCCTTTCAGGTGGTATGTTGCATCATGTCTCTTCAACAGCCTTTCTCACTCATCTTCATTCATCGCAGAAGACAGTCAAGAAGTCATTTAACATTAATGTATGTTATGTGTCTCTTGACCTTTCGCATGGCTTTGAATATCTACATACTAGGCTGACGCTACACGACTGCGATCTTCGAAAATCGAAGGCACTCGTCCAAGTCGACTTCCCCCAGGGTTTTTCGACGATGTACGTGATTTACATCTGTAATCTAATGTCCCCTTTGACCATTATCTTATTAGTTCTCTACCTCCCGAGGACGAAATGCCACCACCCCACCAAATCAACGGACTCTCCTCGGTCGATTACCTACCTTCCTGCGCCCCCGTTCCAATCTATGCGGAGCAACCGATCACGAAACCCCGTTCAGACCCCACCCTCGTAGCTGGGCTAAAAACCTTGTGTCCGGCAGACAACGCAGACAAGATGGATCAAACATCCAGTTGCGAGAGCTACCGGTAGTTGACGTTCCGTGTACCGCAGGCAAGCCAGTACGCTTTTTTCCACCTCTATTCTTCTTATCACTGACACGTTTTCACTCAGAGGAACTATCATGCAAGAGGGAAGAAAGCAGCCGGCTCCTCTCAACCTTCCAAGATCCATGTCATGCAGCAACCTACTGGCAGAGCAACCCAGAGCACACCCCCACCATCATCATCACAGCAAGCCACGACATCAGCTGCAATTCTTACAGTCTCCACTACCACGGCAGCGGCTGGAACCTCACACCTTGATATCACCATACGCGGGGCTGGATGCTGGACGCGGTTCTGGCTCTGGATCGGTTGTGTCTCTATCGAAAACAATCAACTATAGTGAAGAAACTTCTTCGTGTACCATTGACATTTGCTATTGTCTCATCTATAGCGATCCATAGCTCTTCTACCCTCCATTATTTCCTACTTGTTCTGCTATGCTTGTTGTTCATTTTTTATTGCCTTATGTCGGTCCAGCTTGGTTCCACTTCGTACTTGTAGAAGCTGATCCCTTAGGCTCTTCTACGACTCTTCTACGATACATTAATTCTGACGAGCTTTTTCAGCGAAACATTATGACCGACTTCAATCCCTCCGCCGTGGGGCGTGGCGTCGGCAACGTCGTTCAGGAACTTATATGGCTACAGCTCCCGAGTCAGACGTGCAGATTTCAACTTACATCCCTTTCGTGGGGGTAGTCCACGAACAAGGTTTCGATGCCCTATATTTGGGATATTGCACTCGACAAGGAGAGGACGGTGATTCTTACCCTACCGAAAAATGAGTCTTGAGTAAATCCCGCTTCTTCTGAGTTAATGAACCAATAGTCTCCCTCGATGTATTAGACCGTCGTAACACACGCGCAGGGCACCTTTTTTAATGTGTAGTTTATACCTCATGGTAGTCATAGTACGCAAACGTTTAGAGTGTATCATCTTACTTTCTATTGCGCATGCTATAGTACTCAACTTGTTAGCTGGCTAATAAACATTGAAACCTAATGTATGAAGCAGAAACTCAAGACTGTTGCCATCTATGTCGTCCATGCTACTTACATGTTTCAAGTGCATCACAATTCAAGCTGCCATCTGTCGTGACGCAGTTCAGGTAGCAATTCGCCGATTGCACTGGGAATCATTCAAGTGACGAGACATGCTTCAGTCCTGAATGCGAAACTCACATGAGTCTTCGTACCTCAGGTGTTGTCTCTCTCTCGAGTGCGCGACTCTCGGACTGAGTATACTATCTTCATATAGTCACGCATGGCCGAAGTTATACTTCTATCACCAGCTTCTCTGACTTTAGCAGAGACATCCCATGTGTATACGTGGTGGTCGTAGCAGCCAGTGGCGAGGAACTTTCCATCTGCAGAAAAAGCCATGCACATCACACCGTCTTCATGGTGTAGAGGCGGTCCGATGGGCTGATTGGTTTCGAGGTTCCATAGTCGCGCTGTCTTGTCCAACGATGTGCTTGCGAGGATGCGCTCGTTCGGTGATAATGGAATCGCATAGACACCATCTTCGTGCCCCTCAAGAACAGTGGTTTCGGTCCATGTGGCGGTGTCGAACTTCCTGATCTGGCCGTAACTACCTCCGGAGATAAGAGTCTCTCCATCCGAGGTCCATACCAGGCTCAGACTCGAACTGGCACCTACGTATACGAGCGTTTTGATCAATTCGCTTGTGTTGGCATCCCATATTTTCAGCGAGTTCCCGGCCGTTGCGATCATTGTGCCATCAGGCGAGTAAGAAACCGCCCACACGGAGGGAATGATGTTTCCTGCCTCGGCAATTGGTCCGATGATTGTCTTTCCGCTCTCGACGTCCCACAATCTTACTGTCCCATCTTGGGGTCCGCTCACCACTCGGCTTCCGTCTGGACTCCAGCAGACAGACCGCACTCCCCATTTATGCCCCGTCCATTTTTTGACGACTTTGCCCGTGTCAATGTTCCACAATCTCACTACGTCATCCCAACTCCCGCTTGCTACCGTCTTGCTGTCCGGCGAGAGTGCTATTGCTAACACCCCTTCACTTACTTCGTCCTTCCAGGCATCCCCAACTTGCATTCCTTGAACAACTCAAACAGCAGACAATGATCACAATGCGTCGATCGCGAGGCTGATTTGTCTGCAACTAAGAAGCATTTCAAAGTGTTGGCGAACCAACCCAGCGATTGCGTATCTTCGTGTCTTGCACTCGACATTGGCCAAGTTTCACGTTGAAGTTCATGGTTGATGACATTGGCATCGGCGTGCAAGCGCTGCAGTTCTTCACCGAGTTCGCACTTAAGGGATTGAGGTGTTGCGCAAACAATAGTCAGACATGTCGGGCTTTCTTTGGATGTTCGCAGAGTTGCTTTCGAGACTTGCAACCACATCGAATTTGTGGTATTGCTGTGGTATGTCACTTCCATCAAAGAGTTTTCTCGAGAGGCTGATCGCGCATCCAATGCTTATCCCCCAAATGTCCCGCTTCTTCTAGGCACAGCATCCAATCAATAACATGACATCCTGTTCATTTTTCTGACCATGGTATCTGGGATACGTCTCGCACAGCTGTACATCCCGTTCCGAAATGAAACTGTGGGTACATAAAAATACATCATTGGTACAGCAGGTAGTCCGTATACAAGATGGCTTGGATCTCAAAATCTTATACAGCGGTATTCGAATCAAAAATAGCGTTTCATCCTCGTTGATCTCTTCTCACAGGCTCGGTTGAATGGGCATATACACCGCAGCAGTTAGGGCTTTCACTGCCTCCTCCGAGTAAGGCGGATACCGACTTGCCAGGTATGGCTCAGCCCTATCCAGGTTGAGATCCAACAAACAGTCGACTGAAAGAAGGACTCACTCCGTCGGCATGTCAATTGAGCTACGAAGCTGCGTGAACGTATCGTACGTGTGTTTCATAAACTGGTATCCATCTGTCACGGCACTCAGCGTCAGTGACATTCTCTGCGCTCTCAGGTGGTGTGGAAATCTCACAGCCTGACTCGCCTACCCCCGTAAATGGTAGTTCAGTTACTGGCCGATAGAAGTGTCAATCTAAGGATGACGTTAATACCGCCAGGAAACATACCAGAGAGCTGTTGGACGGTATCATTGAAAACAATACCACCGCTCTGTGTTTCCGAGACAACTTTTAAAATTTGATTGTAACATTTCAGCATGAACCAACCAGATCAGCTAAGTAAACGTACGCTGTTGCTTCAGGCTTTCGTTGTCGCTAAAAGCATACAGAACTAGCGGATGAGATCTTTGTGCGGAAAGTCAGCCGAACGGCAAGTTGGATTAAGTATGGGGATGAGAAACACTTACCGTGCATTGACGAAATCGATCGCCTGCTGCAAAGAATCCACAGGCACCAAAGGCAATATCGGACCAAAGATTTCTCTGTAAATGGCATGCTGTCAGGATCACATATCCATCTACACAAGGCAATGCTGACTCTTCTAGCAAGGAGTCACCGTCTGCAACGTCCTTAACAATGGTGGGCTCAAGTCTCCTCCTCGCAGCGTCAGCGCGACCCTGGAGAACAATCTCACCCTTTGTGCGAGAGAGAAGTGATGTGAGGCGTTTATGGTGCAATTCCGACACGATGCTTCCAAACAATGGCGAATCCAGCGCACCGTCGGGGAAGAAGGCCTTGTAATGCTTCTGGAAGGCTTTTGCCAGCTCATCCTGTTTGTCCCGCTGCACGAGGACATAGTCAGGTGCCACGCAGATCTTCCAAAATTCCCGTTTAGTTCGTTGCGCCTTGCTGAATTAGGCAAGAGGCCCAATCGACTTGCCTGTCCTGCATTTCTGCACTTGCCCCACAAGATTCTTTTTGCAGCAATGTCGATATCATATGCGGAGTCGATGATGACGGGACTCTTCCCACCCAATTCCAGCGCCAGCGGCGTCAAGTGCTTAGCCGCAGCGCTGGCGACGATCCTGGCGACCCTGCTATTTCCCGTGTAGAAAATATGGTCCCACTGAAGCTCGAGAAGCTTTGAAGTTTCAGGCACAGCACCATTGACAACTTGGTACGCATTTGGGTCGAGGTACTTGGGCACAATTTCCTCCAAGAGCTGTGAGAAAGTTGGGACAAGCTCGGAGGGCTTCAGCGCCGCAGTGCAACCTGCTGCGATTGCGCCAATGAGAGGTTGGAAAGTGAGTATCATAGGGTAGTTCCATGGCCTGTTCAAGCGCGATGTCAGGAAGTGGAATGTAGATAGCATCTTCTGTCTCACGAGATTATCAGCACGGTCCCCCTCGGGACCTTGTAGAGCCTAGCGTATGTATCATAGATCATCATTAGTCACATTGATGTATCGAATTCGACCATCCGATCACTCACGTTGGCTTCCACGACTTCTGCCAATCAGGCACCTCAGGATATTCAGTCTTGGCCCACTCTGGGAGCTGCTCTGCACTCTTCACAGCTATCTGAATGAGAGCGCCTACTTCAGCCATGAGGACTTCTGTTTTTGGCTTTCCAAGGTCCTTGTGCAGGGCACCGCAAATGAGCTCCCGTTCATTCTGCGCCATGCGTGCAAGCTGGTATAGCTGGTGCTGACGCCATGCTATGGGGCGGGTCAATCCGCTACGGAACGTCGCTCTAAGAGCATCTCTGATCTTCAACGCTAATGGGATCGAACAACAAATGCTGAACAAACGGCACTCACATTTGGGATCGTACTGACGGGAGTTGGCATCTCTCAGTGGCCGATCGATCGATCGGTCAAGCTGTTGAGAGATAGTGCGGCACGACCGACTTTGATTTCATTCACACACTGGCAATCATCGATTGGGTAAGCGATGCATCTCCATTTAATCCCCAATCATTTTTGAGATGATCTCCTTGTGTGTCGCCTTGTTTGGCTGATGAACTTTCCAATATCTGATGCTGATTATGTAACATGTTCAAGGCGCGACGGGCCCCATCACTAAAATTCAAATTGCAATATCAACCCATATGTTGACAATATAATGTAGACAATAGCCCCACTCAATTCCATTTTATTTCGCCCATTTTATTTTCTACAAGCAATTTACAAGTGACAGGCTGTGCGAACTTGAGAGAAATAAAATGTGTTGTAATTGAGGTCGAGCATTTTATTTTATTTCTGATGGCACAGCAGCACTCGCTGAGATTAGAATATGCTGAGGCGGCACATCGAACGATGCAGCCCGAAGGCTCGAAGTTCAACACTGACAGTCATGGATGATATATTCCAGTGGACGTTCCCCACCGAAAACACATACCCGCAAGTACCGGATGTATTTGAGCAAGCGCCTACTACTATGCACAACGGACATGCACAGCTTCCCCCTGATCTGATGCCCTCGTCCTTCAATCAG